CCCCGCCCTGCACAGCGGGCCGTGCCGGCCCCGGCCCCGCCCCCTCGCCTGCCCCGCCCCGCCCCGCCCCGCCGCGGCTGGTTGCCGTGGCGACCGGGCGGCGACCATGGAGTACACGGGCAGCTCCTACCGCGGGCAGCGCGTCAACGGCAGGTGCGGGGGGGGCGGGCGCACGTGTGAATGCTGCGCGACGCGTGTCCGCGTGGCAGCGACTCGCGGGGGACGGGTCAGGCCCCTCGGCCGCACAGTTGGCGCGACAATCGTGATCGCGGCCTCACGCGCCCTGATGCCTCCTGCGTGCTGCTGCCCCCATCGTCGCCGTCACATCGCCGCTCGGCCCGCCTTCTCCCTCTCCCCCAGACGGGAGGGACTTTCCAGCGGTGGCGCCTGGTCCCGCCAGCCCCTCCCAGCGGCTTCCTCTGCCACCGGCGCAGCTCAGCTCAGCTCCTCTTCTGGATGCGCTCCCATTCCCCGCTGCTCTCGGTTGGCCTTCTCAGTCTGTCTACCCGCTCTTCAGCCCTCGCGTCGCGGCTTTTACGTTTCCGCCCGGTGCTTTGTGAAGATCTCGCCTCCTTTTCCATCGAAAAGCTCTGCGAACGCAGCTTAATCGAAAGATGCGCTGGATCGCCCCTCTCCGCGGAAGCGCGCCCGGCGGAAAGGGGCCCCGCAGCCCCCGGCACCCGCATACCTGCCCTGTCCGCTGGACCCCCTTCGGAGGCGCCGGGTGCCTCCAGAGGGATGGAGACAGGAGCAGACTGGGGCTGCCCCCGCCCTGGACACAGCCGACCCGGCAGACCCGTCCCTCCGGCCGCCGGCCGCCCCCCTTCCCGCCCCTTCACCCCTGCAGGTGGCCTCTGGCTCGGGCCGCGTGGCGTGCAGGGGCTCCCAGCGGCTGAGGACGCCCGCCCGAGCCGCCCCTCCACGGTCTCCCTCTGGGCTTCCGCAGGTTGGAAGGCCTGGGCACGTACACCCTCCCGACGGAGACCAGATACGTGGGCCAGATGAAGGACGGGATGTTCCACGGCAGGGGGACCCTGCACTTCCCCAGCGGGAGCCAGTACGAGGGGACCTGGGACCACGGCAGGTCCGTGGAGGTACGGCTGCGAGCCCGCTGGAAGGGCCCTCTTCCGCCAAGGGCCTGGGCCTCGTGCTGCTCGCTCGGGGACCGTCCCGGCCTGGGGTTCCCCCCGCGGGTTGCGCTTTGCCCTGCGTGGGCAGTTTGGCGAGTGGCAGTGCGGTGAGGGCAGGGGCCGGGGGCACGGGCCGCCTCCCCTCCTGCTCCCTGCCTCTCCTCCCTCCCCTGCCCAGCAGAAGGCCCCGTCCAGGTAGGTTCCCAGCCTCCGAAGGAGGACGGCCGGTGTGGATCGTTGCGCCAGCAGTAGGGTCGAGTGGCAAGAGGCCCCGGAACGTCAGGGCGCCGCCTTCCGCGTCCGACCTGGGGATGCAGAGCGCCCTGTAGCCCCCATGATGCCTAGGGACACAGGGGCACGGCCGCCATGAATCATTCCTCCCAAGGTGGAGGCCCATCTCCAGGGGTCCTCAGGCTTGCCGGCGAGGCAGGCGGCTGGCCGGCGGAAGGCCCTTTCTGTGGCGGCCCCCAGCGTGCCGCCTTTCCCCTCTGCCTCCTTGCGGTGCCTCCCCTGCCGGCCGTTAAGCGCCAGGCAGAGTCTGTCCCGTCCGCTTGAAGGAGAAGCGGCCCCATTTGAATTGCCTTTGGTGGTCTTTCCGCCGCTTTCCTCTGCCCCGCGCCTGCCAGCCCTGCTGTTTTCCTTTGCAGCCTCGTTCTGTGGCTTGGTAGCCTCCCTTCTCTAGGGAAGCAGTGTTCTCCTGAACATAAGGAAACGGCATTTACCACCCGGATCCTCTGGGAGGCAGGGGGCGTCTTTAAAGGGGAGCGTGGCAGTCGAAGCCTGGCTTGTGCGCTTCCTGCTGCCATTTGGTTGGGCCACGGTGGAAACAGGATGCGGCCCGAGGTAGAACTTTGCCCTGGTCCATCAGCGCTATTCTTACATTCTTAACCTTTCCCTTGCAGGGGAAATACACTTTTGCAGATGGTTTGGAGTACCAAGATGATAAATGGCATTACTGTGATGGGCATGACAGAAGATTTTATACAGAGATCTGCAAGGGGCTGAAGCCGGCAGGTAACTTCTTGGTTGATTTGTTCGACGAAACAACATTTCCTTTACGATGCCGCTCCTCAGCCAAAAGGGTTTCCCTGGCAACTTGCAGAAAGTCATGATGACAAGACAGCCTGGCACACGAGGAATGCGGATGGAAAGGGAAGAGGAAAAAGCCGTCTGGCAGTGGGCTTGCTCCAGTGGCCCCATTCCTCTTTCCGTTTCGCCCGGCCACAGATGCCTGCAATGGCCACTCGGTGACTCGGTAGCCTCAGAAGGCAGCGAATAAGCCACCCCGGGTCTGCCATGCCTGCTGCCTTTAGCAGGTTGCTAGCCAAGTACCGCTCTGGGGTGCGCAGAGGACCCACGAACACATCCGGAGATGTGAGGAACTGCTGCGGGCAGCACCCCAGGTGACTGCCAGGGGCAATGTGGCTGCCGGTCCAGGACGGGTGGCCCGGATGGTCAAAAGAAGTGGCGGGAGAGGAGCAGTGAGACGAGAGGTGGGCAGGGGGCAGGGGGAGAGTGGGAGAAAGGGCAAAGCGCAGAAGCCGAGCGGGGCGGAAACCGCGCGCATCCTGTGTGTGTCCTGCCACTGGGTCAGGGTCCCACGGGTTGCCTCGTCCTCTGGTTGTGTGTTGGGTGGTTGTGCGTATTTGGCTTTCAAGGGCCGGCCATCTTTCAGCTGACTGTCTCATGCTTTGTCATTGACCTGTTTTCCTCTCCAAGGCATTTCTCAGCTCACAAACCTAGATCCTCCGCGGAGCATCCCAGCGGGCTGCTACGACTGCGGCGACGGCTTCTATAACCCCAAGACCAGAGTGGTCACCGATTACCAACACCGGTTTTTGAGGAACGCAGGTATGCTGTTGCCGGCTGGGTCAGCGGGCGCCTGCCTGGCCATGCGCCTCCTCCGGCCTTCCGGAGGCGCCCCGCTGCCTTCTTACAACCATAACTGGCCCCTGTGATACCCGATTCGAAATGTCAGACGCCACAGCAGTGCAGGAGTGCACGAAATATCTTGCAGGATCTAACCATGCAAGCAAACAATGATTTGCCACAAACAGGGAGGTAACTAACTGAAGTGGATGTTTTGGGCTGAGGAAGGAATGGGAAAGAGGTGAGCACAGGGCTGGTTCAGCTTAGTTGAACCGGCATATGTAATGTCGGCTTAGCGTTACCCGTGAACTCACACTCAGGTCAGCACGAGGTGCTCAGGACTCAAGATGCTGTCTCTGCTGGCTTGCCGAACAGTTTGTTCACCGACTTCCGCTGAACCAGCTCTGCGCAACGTTGGAGCGTGTACATTCCCGCTGCCTCGCCTTATCGTAATGCCATGACTAGAAGGCTACTTTTCTGGCGAGGTTCATGGCTAAGCAGGGATTGGAATCTGCCCCTCCACACCATGCACCACCCAAGGCCATTTTGTTTGAAATGCACATAATAAAATGCCCTTCCCCAGTTCGGTGCTGTCCTGACATGTTGAACTACAAGTCCCACAACCCCCTGGGATAGAATCTCAGTCATCCCTGGGAGAGTCGCCCCCTCCTAGGCTGAGAACTGTCCAAGGCGCCGAGAGGGCCGCAAGGTGTGGGCTGCCCCCGCAGGGTTGGTGGCGCATCGACTCCTTCACACCGAAACACACACTGATCTAAACGGGCCGCTGTTGGCGCCGGCCCAAAACCCTGGAATGCAGCAGTGCTGCGGATGGGTTCGATAAGCACGCACTTTCCCAAAACACAGGAACCCAGACAGATCAGCCCAGGCAGGCGGGAACGCCTAGCAATTCCTCTCCTCTCTTGTTCCCTTTTTTTTAATCTCCGCTTTGAACTCTTCTTTGTTAGGTTTTATTACTTTACACTTATCGAGAGTATCAGCCCCGACGAAATGGCCCATTGTATTATCCTGTCCTGCAACGCTCTGGTGTCCAGCGGGGCCCCCGGGCTCTTCTCTGTTTTGAGGACATGGGTGTGAAGAAGGGATGTGGCTCGCAGTCCATCCCTTCCTTTCGGGGCACCAACACAATTGAAAGAGCCAGGACTCGCCTGACATCAGAGGAACTCCAGTAGCCCCAGGAGAAGTCGTTCGAGGCTCAAGGCCACGGAGGTGACCAAAGAGGCGGGTGGACGGCCGGGCGGAGCGCGAAAGGAGCCAAGGCCGGGCCAGGAGCGAGAGGGTGCGCATGCAGGGCTGCTCCTTTACCGGAAAGGCAGGAAAACCCCATCAGGCGGCAGGCCAGGTCTTGGAAGCATCAAAAGCAGATGGCAGGAAGCATTCAGCAACCTTTGGCAGAAACCCGGGCAGGTTTGCTGAAATTATACCATCTTCCTAAAGAGCTGGGTTCGAGGAAGCTGCTTCGTGCGGCCACCCTCTCTCTGCTGCTTTCTCCCCGTTCTGCCCAGCGGCGCAGGACTCAGGACAGGGGGGGGGGGGGGGGGCAGTGTGCTTAGCAGGGAGTGGAAAGCATTGTTCTGAGGAGAGGAAGGCAAGTCCCGAGCGGCTCGTGCTACCGTGTCACGCCGGTGTATGTGTATTTCTGCGTGTGTCACAGTGAATGTCTAACGCTGGCTGAACTCGTGGGTCCCGGGGCAAAGACTGCCGTCCCCGTGCTCGGGATGCGGGCCCTGCGCTGTTCACCGGCTCCCTTGCGCCCCCCCCCCCCCGCGGCTTCCCCGTTCCCCCCAGCTCGGTCTGCGGCCTTTGCATGCGGAACACGTCGACTCGCTTCACACGACACGAAATTACATCGTTCGGGTCCGCGTACGCTTTCTAGGTAGCAGCTGGCTGCGGATTTATGGCCACGGCTGACTGGGGGTAGAGCAGCCTCTGAACCCAGAGGACGCAACGTGACCCGGGCCAAGCCGCTCCTGCGCCAGTGGGCAAGCAGCCGGGAAGCCTGCCCCTGCAGCCAAGCGGCTCCGGAAGGCGCTGGCGGCAGCTGCCCCACTGTGCGCCGGTGGCCCTCGAGGGCCGTCAGAGCCTCGCCGGTGGCGTCCTCTGCCGGCTGAGAGGTGGGCCATGCGGAATGCGGTGGGCTCCCCCAGGCCAGGCCCGGCCAGCCCACCGGCGCCTACAGCGGGAGGCTGCTCAAGCAGCCCCACCGCCCCCACCACAGCGCATGCCGCCCCCCACAATTCAGGAGGAGGGCTGCGGGCGAGCCCCGCTCTCCGTTCCTCTGGGAGCTCCCCTGGGTCCCCTGCAGGAGCAGGGCTGAGTGGGGAGGAGGGGCCCTCGGAGCCCCTCTGTGCCGAGTTGTTTCTGTGCCTAGGCTGAATGGGCACTGGGGCCTGAGGTGCTGTCTCACCCTGGCCAGTCAGTCCTCGTGGGGCTGTTTGGGAGGGGGGTTCCTGGCCCTCTTAGCATTCTCCCCCAGGAAGGTTGCTTGGACCTCTACACTTTGGACTTCTCTGGCACCTGCGGATACCCCACCTCCCAAGCAAAAGAGCGAAGAGAGAAGAGAAGAGAAGAGAAGAGAAGAGAAGAGAAGAGAAGAGAAGAGAAGCTCTGATGGACCAAGGGCCCATCTCGTCCGGCATTCTGTTCCCACAGCGGCCCACCAGCAGTCCCGGGGACCTCATGAACGGACGCGAGTCGCCGTGGGCACGCCACCTCTGCGCTGCAGCTGACGCGGAGCCACGGATAGCCTTCTCGGCCACGAATTCACCCAAGCCTCTCCTGGAGCATTCTGGAAGCCTCCTGGCCCTGTGCAGAGATGCCGGGGCCAGAAGTGGCGACCTCCGTTCCGCACTGGGCGACCTCTCTTCCCCAAGCAGGGCATCCTGTGAAGGACCGGGCGCCCTCCCCTCGCAGCCCCGCTCTGCCGGAGGACTGGGGACGCCGCTTTGGCAGGGGCTTTCCAGGGAGGCGGCTCCCCACCTTGGCCAGGGGCGTGTGCCGCCAGGGCCGAGTCCTCGCTCGCCTCCGCTCCCTGCGCCGGCTCTGGAGAGCACACCTTGCCCCGAGAAAGCAGCGCTGAAAAGCGCCGGCCTTCCCCTCCGTCGCAGTGCCAGATTCGGAGCAGGACCACCCCCTACAAATTGAAACGATTAGCTGCTCTCCAGAACTGAAAAAACGCGGTTCTTTACATACTTTCAAAACCAAAGGCACTGGGTTTTGATCAAGCGCAAGAGTCCCTCACGGCTTATTTTTATTATTTCTTTCAAACATGCTCCACTCTAACTTTTTTCTTTCCCCTGTTTTTCCTTTTCTTTTTTTGCTTTTGTATATTTAATCATTGTGAATTATAAGCCGTGTGAAAGATTTCAGCTCCAGGGCATTTGCCAGATGGTTGATTCTGCCTTTTTTCCCCCTCTTTCGCACAACAAAAGACATAATGTTTGTGGGGAGCCCTGAGAAATTGTTGGTAATCAGTGTATTCTTCAAGAAACAGGCACCAGACCTGTTTGCGAGAATGTTCGGCTTTTGCAGGGATTAATTGTGAGCACTTTTAGTCTCTGCTCCTGGGCACAGAACAAAACAAATTCTGCCGATTGTTTTGCTCGTTCAGATCACGTAGCAGCCCAAATGGAGGAGATGGGACATGGTGTTTTGGGAAGAGGTGTGAATACAATATCGTCTGTTGCTGATGCATCGATCATTTCCTGGCGGGGTTCTGCATGTCAAGGAAGACAGGCCAACATGTAAACATACAGCCATTTCCCCGGAAAGCACGGAAGAGGTTTAGGGCCTCGGGAAGCCCAGCCCAGGTGTCTGTCCCGTCCACCCAGCCAGTCCTCTCAGCATTCCTGATGTCTGCCTGGCTAGTCGCTGAAACCTGAACTTTCTGGAGGGCATCAGGCTGCGGCGGACGGTGCCTGGCGGGGTCTCGCGTCTCCCCAGGGTCTCCCTGACCCAGTGTTTTTCACCAACTAGGCTTAAAGAACCTGCGTTCGAGTGTTGAGGGCGAGTTGAGGACGAATTGCCAGTGCGCTGGGCAATGTGGGTTGAAATGTGGGTGGTTGTGCTGTCCGAATGCAGCGGTACACGCGACCCTCAGGAAGCACAGACAGCCCCTGGGGAACGCCCTGGCGCAGGGCAGCAGTGCCTGGCATCCTGGAGAGCTGCTGCCAGGCAGTGTCAGCATTACGAGCTGAAGACCTGCTGTGCGGAGGGCCCCCAGTCCAGCTGGGGGTTAGGGGCATGTGCGTCCAGCACGGCGGTCCCTGGCGCAGTCCCCAGCACCGCCCACTGAGGGGACCTCAGGCTGGGAATGGCCCCTGACCCTGGGAGAGCCGCTGGTCCATCAAGGCAGGCCGTCGTGGACAAGACGGACCAGCGCCCAAGGCCAGGGCCGTGCGTCCGAGCAGCCACAGCCGTCGGTTCCGCCCTAAACCCACGCGGTTTCCTCGAGGGCCCGAAGTGATCGCTGCTGTGAAGCCCGCGCAGGCTTCAGCTCCAGATGTGACGCTTGCCAAGAATAACAAGGCAGTGTTTGGGTTTTCGCTCTCTGCTGTGGATACTTAGAGGATTGTGATACCAGCTGCCTCGGAGCTTGTGGTCAGCTGCGCCACATAACATTACAAACAGGAAAGTTTCTTCCCAGCTGGAAAGTTCCCTTTAATGGGTAATTTGTAATCGCACAAGTTAAATGGAAACAAGAGCGTAAAACATGGTTTGTGGTTGCCCTCCGTTGAACACTGTTAGGTTTCCCCTTGTCAGCCTTGGGGGTTCAGAAGCAAGACGTGGCCTTGGGTGGCAGAGGTCTTCAGCAGGAGCTCCTGTTTTATCGGAAGTGCCCGTCATGTCTGTTGTCGTCGTCGTCGTTAGTGCTGCTGTTACTCCCCTCCTCCTCCTCTCTGGGACAAGGAGGTCCCCGTGTTTTTTAAGGTCTTTTCTGCACGCACGTCCCGTGCCGCCCTGTGAGTGGGATGGAGGACCCCTTTCACGATGGCGTTCTGCCTGCAGCGCCTTCGGGATCTGGGGTGGTCGACCTCCGAGCCTCGCTTGCTGGCACCGGGGGTCTTCTGGCAACTGCAGAACTCTTGGGGCGAGTCCGGCTGTCCTGGAGGCTTGCCACTATTTTCCTTCGACTGCCGCAGCCCTGCCAGAACAGCAGAGGAAAGACACCCGCGGTCCCACCTGCCTGTGCGCGACGTCAGGGTGTTTTCGCATCGGGGCAAAGAGCTCGGGGAACAAGGACGGAAGATGGAAGGCGATGAAGGCAGCATCTTGTGCGCCACCCCCGCAGGGGGGCTGCCTCTTCTCCCCCGGACGAGGGTCTGCAGAAGCAGGCGAGGCCTGCGCGGGGGCTGCCCTTCGAGTGGCGCAGCTGGGCTGGTGGCTCGGCTGCCAAGATGCGAGGACCACACTTTCTGAGCGGGGTGAAGGTTCAAGAGGTGGAAAATGTACGGCGTGCAGACGCCACCTGCCCGATCCTGCAGTCGTGAGGCAGTTCAGGACCTCCCCGGCATTTTCATGAGGACGTACGGAAACCCACCATCTGCCATTTGGGAGCCAAAAGGGCCAGCTCTGTCGTCCATGATTCTTTTCCATGTAGATCGTCTCTCTCCTTCCTTCCGTCCGTCCGTCCATCCGTCCATCCTTCCTGTCTCTCAACTGTTTCTGTCATCCAGCTAAACAACCTTCTGGTTGGACATGAATCGGGGCCACCAAAAAAAGGGGCAGCGCAACAACAACGCTCTGCTAGAAGAATAAACGGGCTCCGATACGATCTTCGCCCATAATATACCGTGTTGGCTAATTGCATCAGGATAATTTCCAGTTGATTAAGGAGTATTTGTATGCTCCCCCCCGCCACACGCCGCTACCACTTTTTTAAAAGAGGAAATCACATCTGAAGATGAAGATGTACTTTGGCACCCCATATTAATATAGCCCAACAATTGCCCTTGCAGAAAAGAAAAGTAATTACAACTCGCCGTCTGGGAGTGCTAATCAAACTCCGGGCTTTAATTCTGTTTTAAATATGGATGAAACCCCACTCTCCACGCTCACCCTGGTGTTGCGGGGTTACAGAAGCTGCCAGCGCCGGTGCAAGCAGCCCGGCGTGGTGAACAAGCAGCTGCCGCCAAGCCGGGCGGGCATCTGTGATTTAAATTGCTAGCTGCACAGTCAGGTAGAGTGTGAAAGGGCTGGTCGAGAGGCTGTTAAGTCCCTGGCCGCCAATTACGAACAATCAGGGAGGAGCCTCCGGACTCGTTCAGCACAATAAACCCAGTTTGTCTTGTTTCAGGGGTTACTGCTGAAGAGGGTGCAGCTGCACTGATTCAAATACCCGGCAGCCACGGCGATTATGAGGCAGCCTCCTTCTCCTCCTCCTCCTCCTCCTCCTCTTGGTGGCCGAGGAGGATGCTCAGCCACGGTTAACTCTTCAGCGCCTGGCAGGCAGGCAGGCAGGCAGGCAGGCAGGCGGGCGTGGGCCTCCCAGCTCGCCAGGGCTGCCGCGTTGGTGGTCCGGGGCACGGGCAGCGTGGCCGAGGCACGCAGAGAGTGGCCAAAGGCCACTGCCCGCTTCCCCCGTGGCAGAGGGGGTGCTTCTGTGAAGCCCACAGGAAGGGCCGGGGGCTGTTCATCCGTCCCCCCGCCACTGCCCTTTCCCGGCACCCAGCCTCTGCCCCGTGGCTCTGCGGAGACAATCCGCCCACCCGCCGAGCCCTCCTGTGTCCAGAGACTGGACCTCTCTCCCATCCCACGAAGGGCAGCCTGGTTTCCTCACCTCACCTGGGCAAAACCTGCACAGGGGGCTGAAGGAGCTGGCCAGGCAGGTTCCGCCTCTGACAGGGCTGCCTGCGTTCGCTCCGAGGCTTTGCAGCCCTTCTGCGGGGTTCCCGAAAGGCGCTCGCCCTGTCACTGCACGGCAGCCCCCAGCGGTCCGGCATCAGGAGCCTTCCTTCCACGCAAGGACACGGGGAGCCGCCAGAACGGGTCGCCTGGCTAGCACCTCCGCCTTTTGGAGCTCGTGATCTGAATTCGGATACCCATCCAGCCACGTGGCCCCGCCCCACCCCCACCCCCCCGCAGGATGGTGGCAAAGAGCCCATGCGCCCCGGCACCCGTGCATCAACCGCTCCCTACACGGCGCACATCGTGTGTCCCTTCAGCGCAAGTGCATTTGACTCGGATCTGGATCGGAGGCTCGGCACGCGTCAGTGCGGGCGTCTGTTCCCATTCTTCATCCCCTGCATGAAGGCTGGGCCAGCTAGTGGGAGAGAGCGGGAAGATTCCCCCCCCCCCCCCCCCCCAGCAAAGTGCAGCCTGTGCAAGCAGCGTGTCCACACTCACGTGAACAGACGCGGGGCAGCCGCTCGCGGGCATCTGTGCGCCCTGTGGCTTGGCCCTGGCTCAGGTGGACGCGGGGCTGCTGCTCTGCCGGTGAGCTCGGCCGGCCGCACTCGACGGCCCGGATGCTGTCCCGCCGCAGCGGCTAACCAGTGGCACGTTGTCAGGGGAACGGTGCCGCACACCTCAGTCATGTGCAGAGTGATGTCACGCCCAAGCGCGTCGGTGTGCACGCTAAGGGTCCACTCTGAGAGCGGAGCACATCTTGCTCCTGGCGCTTCAGTGGGGCTGATGCGGCCACGGTCAGCACTGGGGCGCGTGGGAACGTGAAATGGCAGGGCTCCGGCTGAGGACAGAGAAATGAAGCAGCGCCGTGGCTGCTTACGCCACACGCCCGGTTTTAACTGGTGCATCCGTGCTCTGGTTTTAGGGCTCCTCCAGTCCAGAGCGCTGAAGGGTGCGTTTCTGCGGGTTTGGACAGAAGAACGTCCTGCAGTTTCCATGTGCCCCAGCGCGTCTTGGTGGCTGGGGCATGCTGGGAGCTGGAGACCCCTTTTCTGTCTAAGCATGCGCAGGTTTGCACCGTAAAGGGAAAGGGCGCTATTCAGAATGGCCTTTCCTTCTCACGGTGCGTGATACTTTTCCATTATAAGATCATACAGTCTTTCTTTCACACTTCCTTGCATAGGCTGGACAAAGGCTGAGGTTCTGCAAATATACAAAAGCTTTCAAGTTATCTGAGCAGTTCAACGGTTCACAATACTGTAATCACTTACCTGGGAGTAAGCCCACTGGAGTCTGAGAGAGCTACTTGCGAGTAAATATGCTCTGTTAACCAACCAAAAGTAAACGTTATTTTACTTGCCCCCCAAAATAAGACAGACGTGGTTTCCCCAGATTTTCTGTTGAGCTGGCTAGCTGCCTTGTGCCCCGTCTTCCCAAAGGCTCGGATCATTCCCGCCTCTCGTCGCGCCCACTTGACCTGTGCCGGGACGGGGCAAGAGCCGCTCCCCTAAACCCAAGGAGGAAGCAGAGCCACCTAACCCACCGTCCTCCCCCTTTGCTCCCCCCCTGCCTTTCAGATGAGGATGAGCACGACTGGATTGTCCGGACCTGCCGGAAAGGATGGGACGAAATTATTGGTTTCAAACCCAAGGAATGGGCCTCGTCGAGGAAAACCGAGAGCCCGGCTCCCCGTTGAAACCTTTTGCTTGCCTGTGTAAGGACCCAGCACCTATAATTTCTCCATTAAGGTAGTTTTTGTTGCCTTTTCTAACAAAATAAAATATAAACTCTCACTTCATCAGCTGCATTAAGAGGAAATTGTGCAACTAATCACCCTTCTACGTACTATAATATTCCCGTGAGGTGTGCAACCTACCAGCTCTTTATGTTGCGAGCACAAAAGAACTTACTCGCTGCCGTGCCGTCTCTTAATTCTGTATTATACCTTGCACCTCCGCCGCAAGTGGCAGTGGATCCTGCCCCCTGCCTTGGGATATTAATTGGCTGTTGTAGCGGCAAGCTCAGGAGACGCTTTTTAATAACTGGTTTACCACGGAAGGAACAAAACCGATTTGCGGTGCGCATCGGAGTTCTAGACAAAGGAGGACAGGGCGGGTTGCCTTTGGATTATGAAGCTGCGGAAGCATTTCTGGAATGAAAGAAAATGGAATTGCACCGGTGCCTTGATGTGAGTGCCAGCACTGTGACTTGCTTTAACTTTATTTATTACACAAATAAGACATTTACAAAGCACAACAGTAAAAGTAGGTAACAAAACAGACATTGGCTTTACAATTTAAAAAGTGCTTTACATTTCCCCCTTTCTGTTTCTTCCCCCCCTCTCTTTTTAAATAAATATCAAGTCCTGACTCTCTTCGGAAAGGTATTTTTAGCCATCACAGCCAAGACATGCACAATCGCCACACGCTACGAACAAAACAACCTGCTCCGTTTCAAGAAAAAAGATTTGGCCAAGGATCTGCAGCTGCCGCCGCCACCGCCTTGCAAGGCCGGCCGGCCGGCCGGCCGTCCTCCCCGCTTTCCTGTCATCTGCAGCTTGCAACCCGGTTCGCTCTGTGCTCTGAAGTGCTCCTGATTCAAGAGCGCGGTGCTAATGTGAGCAATTTGGAACGAGAAGGTGGGGGACAGAACCCTGGCTCCCAAAGCCCCTTGAAGCCCCACCTGTACTGGTTACGGAAATGAAGCCAATTTGCATATATCTGCATGATTCCTTCTGTTTTTGCCCAGAAGTGACAGGGAGCTGTGCATACAAAGCTGGCCATCCTTCCCTTCCCGGGGATGGCCGTTTGGGTCTGCCCACCTCCTCGCGAGATTCCGCCAGCCTTCGTTTCCCCCAGCCTTGAGGACTGGACACTTGGAACTTCCCTTTATGAATGTATTCCATTTGTAGACCACCCTGTAGCCCATAGGGTTCTCCGGGCAGGTGACAGAAAAAAAATCAGCTGTTTGTTTGTCTGTGTGTCTGTTTTTGCAGAACCAAAAAATTGAAACATTAAGGACTTCCATGCCTAGTACCAAATAATTTGCTGGCCCACCCCAAGCTCAAAGAGTGCTGTTGTCCTCCGAAACGCCAGGTTTTTTTCCCCATAATCTTTGGGGGAAAAGGCAAGTTTGATGCACAGGTGCTAACATTTCGTACTATCCCATGCCGGGCAGTCCGAACACTTGAGATGAATTTTGGCCCGAAAGCTTTGAGGCAGAGGCAGAGACCAGCCCCTTGAGAATGGCCCCGGAGGGCTTCAGAGAAGTCGTTCCGGACACGCTCGGGGGAGGGCACGCAGCTCCAGGAAGCGGGAGCTCGCCCGCCCGTGCGGCGTCTCTGAGGCAACGAGAAGCCCCCCTCGCGTGGGGCCCCACCAGCCGCTGCATGTGCGTGGGAACCACTTGGCCGGGGCCGCACCTGCCCCAGGCCCGGCAGAACCCACCCGGCGACCCCCGAGGGCGCGGAAGGAGTGCGAGGCACGCTCTCTGTCCGTTTTTTCAGACGGGCATTCTGCAGACCGGAGGCGTCCTGAGATAAGGCTTGGTTGGGCTCCATCCATTGGTGCTGAAATACGTTGGCTAACGAGTCACTGGGCTACCAAAACCAGGGGGTGTCTTACATTCTCCGGAGAGCTGTTTCTTTTCCATAGAAGTCGTTTAACTAGCGGTGGATTGTTTCCAGTTCTGCGCAACCACTGGAGTTTAAAAAAAACACCCTTGGCAGACCAAAACCGAGCCCTCGAGTGCAAAGCGCTGGCCCTGGTTGCCTCCTGCCTCCCTGCCGGGTGAGGGGAGGCCGCGGCGCTCGCTTCCCACGGATTTGGCTGGGGAGGGCCACGCTCCCCTCCAGACTGCCCTGCTAGCGGTGCGGGGCGCCTGGGGGGTGGCACCGTGGCCCTGATTGGGTCGGGGCCTTTGTGCCGCCGCCGCCGCCGCTTTGGATCGAAGAAAAGTCAAGGGGAGGGCCGGGCCGGCAGCGTCTCCACCACCGCGTGCGGCCAACTTCCATGCTTTCAGGCTGCGGCTTCGCAGGCACTGCTGTGCTCCTGGGCGGAGACGCCCTCCGGGCAGGGGCCCCAGCCGCCTCGCCTGGCCCCTCGCTCTCCCAGCCCTCCAGAGCCTGCATCTGAGAGCTGCACGCCAGCCAGCGGCTGCCGGGCTGGACTGGGTGGGCGGGCGGGCAGGCGCTGCCTGGGAAGAGCAGGAAGGAGGGCGGCCCTGCAGGCCTGGGCCACGCGGAGCAGGAACCGCGGCTCCGCAGCACACCCACGCCGGGACGAGGAGGGCCTTTTCCCCTGGAGCTGCGGCGGATCCGGATCCGGGCTGGGGAGGGGAGGGCTGGGGGGAGAGGGCCAGCGCGCGTGCTCCAGTTGGAATTCCAGCGTTGCCGACCGCACTGCAGCATCCCCGGCACCCAGACACCTGGCTCCTTAGACGGGGAGACGCCAATCGCTTTCTTCGGGCTTCTAGAAGTTGTGTGGGGGGGGTAAAAATTCTGCCGCTGGGTGGCTGAGAGAAGGTGCGTCATGGTTTGCCAAGCGCCTAGAACGGATCCTTCCAAAGCAGGCTGCCGGCACTTGGCTTCAGAACTGCGGGGCCCTGGCCCGTCGAGGGAGCTGACGGGTGTCCTACAGGGAGAGTCAAAGAACCGATCTTTTCAAAAAAGAAAGTTTGTTTATGAGATGCGGGTCCATAGTCCCGACGGTGAGACTCTGTTGAACGGAGAAAGAGCTCAGCCCGGGCGGGCGGCTGAGGGGATGCATTAGCGGACTCGATTCTTGCAGATGAGCGGCAACCAGCGTGGGAGGAAGCTCCGGCGGCTCCGTTTCTTTTTCCAGCAAGGGCCGCTGGTGGGAGACGGGCCCATCCGCCGCTCGGCCCTCGGCCTTGGTCCTTCCTGGGTTCAGGGAGCGGCAGTGGGTCCCTTGCTTGCATCGAGCAGCTGGAGAGGGCCCTGCCCTGGAACCTCTGCCAGCCAGCGTTCCCGAGGAGGAGGAGGAGGAGGAGGAGTGGGGGGAGGAGGAGGAAGAGAACACAACCAGGTGCTCGACGGGCGTGGTGGTTGTGGCGGGCCCAGGAGCCGGGCTGGTGGGTGGGATGGGCATGCCACGGGCAAGGTCCCACCGCTGGGTGGCCCGTGGAAGCCGTGGGTCCAGCGGCCGCTGAAGCGGGGCCGCCGCGAGCCCCCCGGGAGCTGGGGGCTGGCACGAGCAGTCAGTACTGGAAGAGGATGACCTGTCGGAGAAGCACAGAGCGGCTCAGCGGGGGGGGGGGGGGGGGCCTCCTTCGCGGGGGGCGGGGGCGGCGGCTGCCCGTGGCCGAGGGTCGCAACGGGGCGGGGGAGGCCCTGCCCGTTCCCCCCTTCCCGCCACGCAGGCCGGGCTCCTTCCGTACCAGGGCTGCTCCCTCCCCTCCCCAGAGCCCCGCGGGCCTCGTCTGCCCCTCGCCGCTTCAGCTGCAGCCTGAGCCTGCGGGAAGGAAACGGCCGCCTCTTCCGAGCAGGCGAAGGCTCCACTGCGAGGCCGGAGGCAGTGAGGGGCCCCGTGGCTGCGGGGTGGGCCGCCGGGCAAGGCGCTCCCGGGCCCCTCCAAAGGCGTGTTTGGTTCTGCGGCCGGCCGGCTTGTGACCAGCTCCGGACAGCTGGCCAGCGTGAGCCGACAGGCCGGAGAGTCTGCGTTCTGACAGTCGGTGGCACTTCCTCCCCCGGTGATCCAATGCAGGGCAGAGAGAGGAGGCTGTTTCGAGCCACGGAAATGCAGGGAGTAAACTGACTTCCGCCTGGCCCGCTTTGCTCCACGCCTGCCTGGTGCCTGCATTTCTAAATAAACTAGACGGTGCGAAGGCCTGCAGCACGCTTGGTGCCTCAGAGGAAGCGCGAACCCGGACCCTCGGGGCCTCCTCGTCCCTGGGGCAGTGGCGAGCAGGGGGCCGCCACCGCGTGCTGAGCGAGACCTCCGGCCTGCTGGCTCACGTGACCGGCACCTCGGTGGCAGCTGCTGTCCAAGGCCTTGGCTTGCTAGCCGGTACGCTGCAGCTGGAGCAGCTGGCGCGGAGACGGGGCTTCTGCCCAGGCACCGGGGGGTGCTGCTTCCTGCCCCGCGCTGCCCGCAGGCCCCCGCGAGCCGTCCCCAGGGCGGGCAGGGCAAGGGCCACCCTGGACCAGCCCTCAGTCACATGAGCTGATGCTCGGCTGCGGTTGCCTTGCCGTTCCTTCGTGTGCGGTTGTGTATGCCGCCCGCAGGCCAGCCGTTCCGGCACGCGTCCACACATCCTCCGCTGAACATGCAGCTTCTGGCACACAGGTCAGGCACCACCGGCTTGCCCAGATCACGGGATCCCGCAGCGCTGCCGTCTGGCCCGGGGAAGTTTAAACTCCGTTTCTGGCCCCTCGGGCCCCGGGCAGAGCCGGCGACGGCCCGGCCAACACGGGGAGGGTTGGGAAAGAACCTGGCCGAGGCCTTTTCTTCTGGATAGCCACAGATTAGATCCAGAGCTCAGGGGAGGAGGTTTGGGGGCGGCTCGAGGCTGGGCGGGGGCGGGGGGCAGCCGGTTACTGATGACGGAAAAGAGCCGTTACCTTCTCCCCCCTACTCGATAGGGGTCCTTCCATGTCGGCTTTGAGGTGCACGGGAGGGGCGGCATACGGGAGACGGCAGTGCATCTGTCCACACTGGACCTGACCTGCGGACGAGACGGCGGCTCCGGCCTTACTTTTCAGGGCCAGACCGACGCGCTGCTCCCACCGGACAGGGAAGCTCACCAGAAATGGGGGACGAGGGGTGGGCGGGAGCGGCGAGCCAAGGGGCGCGCGGAGCCCACGCCCAGACGCTTCGGAAAGGGACGGGCGCGCCTGTGACGAGGCTCGTCTGCGGGAGACCTGGCCTCCTGCCCTCCCGCCGCCAGCACCGGCGCCTGCCCTGGGCGGGAGGCGAACGATCTGCCATCTGCCTGCCCACCGGCCAGCCGGCCTCTCCACGCAGCCGCCTCCCCTGAGCCTGTGGCTCGCTCCACCGGCCCCCACCGCCACCTTTCCGCAATAAAATGCACACGTGCAGCGTCCACGAGCCACGGATGAATGTGATGCCACGCCTTGACTGGACCGCATGGCGCCTGGGGAGGGAGGGCTTCAGGCCTCGGAGGAGCGACGCACGGCGCTGGAGCCGCTCGCCTCTCGCCACGTGAACGCCCCGCGTGCAGGACCGTCCGCGGCCTTCGGGCCAAAGCGAGTCTCCCGGTACAGCGGGGCTCCCGACCTCACGTGCGTGTTCAGAAGCGTGGCCCTCGCTCCGCCAGCGCTTCAGATATTTTGACGCACGGGGCGTTACCCCACAAGGCAGGTAGGAGAGCTGAAGCTCAGCAAGCCGGCGGCCCCGCTCCGATTCCCGCCTCAGGCCCTGCACAACACCCCCCCGCCGGGAGCACGGCCGAAGTGCGCGCGGGAGCTGGCACTTACTTTCTATGTAGCTGTGCAGCGTCACCATCCGGGCTCTCTCGGGGCTGCTGAACGGGGAATAGTGGATGTCATCCGGCAGCACGGAAGGGATGCGCGACTGGGACGCTCCGGACGGGGCCACCACGTGCTGCGGCGTGTGCTTTTTATGCCGCGCTCGGCAGTTCTGAAACCAAACCTGGCGTGCAGAATCCCTCCGTCACCATCCCTGCGGCTCGCGACAGGAGCCTGTCCTTCTCCGCCCTCCTCCAGATGGCCCTTTCACGTCCCCCTCAGAGAGGGGACTGTTGGACAACATCCCGTGACTGTCCCCTCCACGCACGGACCCCTGGGGAATATCCCGCTGCCCAGAGCAGGACGAAAGAGACCAGGCGTGGCCTCGACGTTGCTGGTGATTTTGCTCGCTTCCAGGGGCTTCTCTGGGCGGCCGCCAGAGACAGAGCGAGTGCCGGGAGGTCTCCCGACCTCACCTGGCGGGCCGTTCTGATGCACACGCTGCCGGTGCGGCGCTCACCTGGATCACTCTTCTGCTCAGGCCCGTCATGTCAGCCAGCTTCTGAAGGGTCTGCGCGTCCGGGTTATTGTCCTGAGCAAACTGTGCTTGCATGACCTAAGGGGAGGGGGGTCGGCAGAGTGATCGGGGTGCTGGGCCAGCCCGTCATATCCCCCCGCCCCGCGCCGGAGAGGACCCTGCTCCCCACCCGGGCGCTCACCTGCAGCTGCTCTGCCGTGAAGGACGTCCGGGCTCTCTTGGCCGGCTTGGGCTGGCTGTCCTGCTCCGATGGTACCGCCCCCTCCAGCGTGATGCCGTTCCCTGAAAGAGGACACCACGGATCAGCCTGGCCGCGGTCAGAACCAGGACCCCTGGGAATGCGCGTCGGCTGACGGGGGGCAGGGCAGGGGCTGCCGGAACACCTTGAACGAACCCACAGGACACACGCCTGGCTGTGGCGATGGGCCCGGCCGGGGAGCTGCTCCTGCGCAAGGCGGAACCAGCTCCCCGGAAGCTCGCCCAGTGCCGGCTCCACGGAGGCATCAGCGCTGGCAAAGCCCTTCCCGTTCCCACACGCACGGCGGCTGAGCCAGCCCCGGCGGCGCTTCTGTCGTGCTCTTACTGCGCCATTTCGGTGCCCGCTGCGATGACCGTGTTTCGCCAGCCTTCTCCACCCGGGTGCTCCCCAGATCTCTCGTTCCCAGCCGGGCAGGCAGTGTCGGGCTTCCCCATCTGCTCCTCGGAGCTGCCCGCTGCCCAAGCCGGCTCCCGCACCATGAAGCGGTCCTGCCGCCAGCCTGGAGGCTCTCCCGCGCGCCTCCTCAGGCCTGCCGCCCGCAGTCGCCCTGCAGGATGCGGCCCTGTCACCAGCGCTGCAGGGAGGTCCGGGCGCAGCTGACTTCTGCGGCTGGGGGTGGCGGGGCGGTCACTTGGCCCTTCGCCCCAGGCGGCACAGTGCCTCGGCCGGCCCAGTCCACACAGCGGCCAGCGCCTCCCATCGCAAGCTCTGAGGCATTCCTTTTAAGGACATGCGCTTTCCTCCATATTTCTGGCCCCTGAGCCCTTCCCCGAAAAATCTGCTCCCCTTCCCCAGGAACCGGAAGCCCTATGCGTCCGGGAGACAACGCTTCTTTAAGAACCAGGCCTGGATAAAAGGCCCAGGCGATTAGATCAGCCAGTTCCTTCCCCCTGCGCCCCCCCCCCACACACACGTCTTTATTTTTTGGTGTTTCCTCTTGGTATTTTTCCCGTCCACACTCGCTGCTTTAATGTGGAAAACAGAAGAGGGGAATCAGGCTTGCTGGTGTTGGATGCTCCTGTTCCACCCATCGCCCGCCTGCCCATGACAGCCCAGTCTGACTCGCGCTGGCTCGATGCACTTGCAGATAGCCAAGCGGGGTTGGCAGGGTCCTGAGAACGCGGTGCCCGGCCTCGCAGCGGGGTCTCTGGCCGCCCTGTGACTTGACAGCCCCTGCCCTCTTCCCTGGCAGCAGCCTGCTGTCCTTCTCTGGCTCTGAGCCAGCCTGACCTTTCCTGCCCGCGCAGAAGCGTTGCGCGGCCGTCCGCCCCACACACGGCATGCGCACGAGCAGTCGGTGCCTGCGAGCAGGAGGCCCCGAGCACAGGGCCAGCCGCTGAGGGCGAGGATGTGGCAGCCCTGCCCCGCTGCCGAAGCCACATGTGGGGGCGAGGGGCAGCCGGCCCGGGCCAGAGACTCCAAGAGCTGTGGGAACCCGCCGGCAGCTCGCTCGGCTCAGGCGCTCCCTCGCCCCTCTGAGATGTTCGGCTTGGAGGCAAGACTTGGGATGTGATTATGTTGGCCCCAGTTGAAGGAATTTTCCTTTTTGTTTAGCTGTTTGACTCATTGCTATAGGATGATTAATGGGATTCGGCTTCAGCAACATCTGTTTATTTTCCCTTCTATAGAAAACCCTCGCGCGCAGGCAGGATCACTGCGATTCCCAGAGGAAGCACATGCGCTAAATGGAATTGCCGTTTTCGCCTCTGTGTCCCCTCCCAGGAACTCGCGGGGAAGGGCACGGCCTGCCCCACGCCCGGCTGCCACCTGGCCTCTGCCCACCGCCTGCCCCCAAAGCTGACAGCGCTCCCCGGGGAACTGGCGTCCTGCGCGGCAGGAAGGGATGGGGGGCGCAGGTGGGGCCCCTCCCGCGAGGCCACGCAGCTCCAGGTTGAGGCAGAGCACTTTAAACGCGACCGGGCTTTGCTCCAGAGGTGGAGATGCGGCGGCCAGAGCCACGGGTGCGTTCACGGCGAGCTCATGTGGGCGACGCCAGGGACCGCTGGCTCGCAACCCCTTCCGGCAGCGCGAGAGGATGCGGCTCACGCGGACAAGCCCCTGCGTAGCCCAGCGCCTGGCAAAGCCAGCTGAGCAGAGACACCCGGCACAGAACGGCTGAGCCAGGCCACATGCTCTTCTGGGAAGCTCCTGCTTCTCACGGAAGCCAGATCCTCTGCCTCCAGCCCCTTCGTGGCTCCCCATCTTCCTGACTTATCTATTTCAAAAGCGTGCGCCCGATTTTGGAATGTGGCGCGGCGTTCAAACGGGGTTTACCTCTGGGGTGTCCCCTGCCAGTTATGTGTTCCACAGAAAGGAGGGACAACCATTCTCCTCCACTCCAGCCACGTACATTTAAAATAAAAGAGTGTGGCTGAGCATGTGGGAAGTGCCTTCCCCACACCACCGAGTGGGAATCCGCCATTAGAAATATTTTCTCTTCATTGGGAAATGACCTGATCCGACAGGCATCCAGTGACACAGTCAGGCCGTGACACTCTCAGGGGAACAGAAAGCGGTCCTCGGACCCCCGACCGTGTGCTCAGCTCCGTCCTCAGCCTCCAGGCTGCCCTTTGCTGCTTGGAAAGCGCGAGGGACGCGTCTGGAAGGAAGCCTGAAGCATGACTTCTCCGTGCAGAGTAAAGTAACCCCACCGCTGGTCAGCAGTGAAACTAAACAGCTGGGGGGATTTGCTGGCTCAATGCAGCCCAACACTCCGCTTCCCACCGTGGCCTCTGGGAAGCCCAGCGAGAGGGTGTGCAGAGTCTGGCCTGCATCTCCGAGCCCACAGCAAAGACCTTGCCACGGCCGTTCTCGGCGAGCTCCCTAGTCAGATCCCGAGCAAGAGGGAAAACCAGCCACCGGCCTCCCCACCAGCAGCCACAAAAGGCAACTCGGCGCACGAAGCCCCGGTCTCCCGAGCAGGTGAGACCGGGGCTGGGCACGCTCCGTGGATGTGGCTCAGGCGGCCGCCTGGGGAGCACGGAAGCAGGGGGACGCATCGCCCAGGAGAGGATGCTGGTTTGCTTGTGATCCTTCACAGACGCGTCTGTGCGTGTGTAGATGCACGTTTTGGAATCGTTCCCATTTTAAAAGAGATGCATCTCCCTGCAGTGGCACCTGGGAGCAGGCGGCCCGTGTCCCTGCCCATTCAGTCTGCCCACCAGGCTGCCTGCAGATGAGCAAAGGCTGCTAGGGATTTTTATCTTCAAGCTGGAATGAAGGAGGGCAACCCTGGAAGGAACAGTCCTCTGGAATGGAGGACACCTGCCCATCCATTGCACGAGCAGAGAAATGTTGGCCCCCGAAAAGGCAGGCATTTTGACCTGTGGCAAACAAGCACACAGCGCACCCCCAAAAGCAAGAAGCACGCACTCCCGCGGTGAGGACGGCACTCGGCACAAATGGCGCGACGGACTATTTGTTGCCCTATGGTGGTCCCACAGAATCTGGCAGGGGGGGCACCTCCCACCCTCGGGGTGAGCTTCCTGGAAGAACCGGATCCTGGCAGCTTTCGCTGGATCTGGCATCCCGGAGAGCAATTGCCCAGCGCTCCCGAAGCCTCGTTCCATCTCGTGCGCAAGGCGAACGGGAGACACGCTGTCCTTCGCGCAACCTCCGAACGCTCGCCTCCCACATTTCAAAACAGTGTGATCAGAAATATGGGAAATGACACCACAGCCTCGCCGTCCTCCCCCTTTCCCCTTTCTTTGGCTCGCGTGCAGGGCAGGTCATGCGCGCCTCCCCTTTCACAGATGGGAGGTCTCAGGTCAAGGGAAAGCCCCATTCGCTCCGGCAGGCCACCCAGCTCGCCTGCATAGCCCAGAAAGCATCTGAACCCGGGTCCAAGTTCAAGCCGCTAACAAGCTGCTGGGCCACACTGGCCAGGGTACGCCACAAGCGAGCAGCGCAGACGCCCGGCCCCCTCCCTCCAAACCACTCTGGCATCTTGTTTTGATTTTGTTTTCATCTCCTTGCTTAAACCTTGTAAACAGAAACACTGATTATTTTCATTTTCAGATTCCCCCGTTCTCCTCTGAAATCGTTTCCATCTGCTGCACAAGATGGCTTGCTATGGGCCCCCACCCTCCCACCCACCTCTTGCCTTTGCTCAGAAAAGGGGAAATCAGAAAACTTCTTAACACTTGGGCAAGGTTTGCTCTCTCAGGAGTCACACGCACATTAATTCGGAGCGGTGGGGAAGGCACCGGGCTAGGGCTGAAGCTGGAATCCTGCTCCCCTCTCCCCCTCTATCGAAAGTGGGAAGACCGAAAACCTACAGCCCTAGAAAAAGAGCCACAGGCACCCCAAGGCTCCCCCTGCCCATATTCCAGCTGGCCACCATTCCAGCGCAGGGGCACAGAATCTGGTCCCCGGCACAGAGCTTCCCGTGGTACGGATGCAAGAGAAGCACGGCGTGCCCGGAATCGGAGTTGGCGGCCTCCGCTCAGGCTCGGCTCTCTGGGCAAGGCACCGGGTGGCCGTGGAGCTTTCCGCTCTCTAGCGTGACAGTCATGACCCCTGGAAGGATGCACGGCAGAATCCCGAGTGGTGCCCAGGACTTGGAGCGGGAGGCGTCCGGGAAGCACAGGGCCCTGCGCGGTGAAGGTGTGGGCTGCTTCAAACAGAGCGCCCTTGGCTGGCTCTTTAGCAGAAAGCAAGATGACATTTGCCCGGTGGAAAAAGCAGCATTCAGGAAAAGTGTAAAATAAAAGGTGCGTTCAGAAGCGAAGATTTGGCCAAAAAGCAAAACAAGGGGGAATTGCAAACTCTAGCGAGCGTGCTGGGCCCAGACCAGCCTTTTAAAACAGCCCCTCCTTCGAACCGTGAGCCAGCTGCTTTGCTTAATACTGCCTTTTACTAGCTTGTATGCAGTCACTGTCCGGAGGGAGGTGGTGCGGGAGCGAGTGCCCGCCCTCCCACGGCAGTGGGGACCGGGGCTTGGGTGCCCCGGCTGACTCTTCGCTGAGGCTGCGGTTCGGAGTTGCTTGGAGGAAACCCAGAGTGCAGAATCCAGCCAAGAACACAGGCGGGTTTTTGTGGCAGTTGCTCCGCTCACTGACTCACAGCTGAGCGGAGGAACGGCCTCCTCCTCCACGGGAAACCTTGTCGCTGAGGTGGCGTCAGGCAGCCTGAAATTCGATCTGCCAAGGACGAATCTGAATTCGCTAGGGCTTCCTGGTGCACTGCCCGATGTGGCGGACAAGCTACATGCAAAATACTTTGCTTTGGCCGACTCAGAGGTTACAAACAAGGCACAGGCTTCGCAGATCTCAAGATCTTTTCACCACCAAGAAGTTACAAAAAGCAGGTCTGCGAGGGAGGGGAGCCAGGAAAGGGAAAGGTGGAGCTGCGGGCAAGCCATCCGAGTCAGACCTTCGTGAGGACAGGGAGGCAGGCGTCTGGCCGACGCTCAAATAGGGCTCCAGCAGGTGAGGGGACGATTCTGTGTCCCCACAACCAAAGCGTGCCCACCTCTGGAGCAGCCTGAGAAAGGGAAACGCGGTTCCGCCACGGCGGCCCCTGCCCCCTCGGGCTGCCAAGCGAGCCCTCGATGGGGTAGCCCAGCTCGGGGCAGACATGACCGTCTGCGAACTCCTCACCTGGGCGAGCATCCCCGGCCCTTACAATCCTGCACCCTGCTCACGAAGCTCGGCCAGAGGGAGCCCCCCTCCCGCTTCCAGCAGAGGCACCGTCGGCCCAGGGGTGCGGTGGTCCTGCCCTCCTGGGGCAATTGCCTGAACACGGGCCCCCTCCAAATCCTCCCCCAACCTCACACTGGGGCCAGTGGGGAGACCGGTCCCCGAATGGTGCCCTTGGCTGGCCCCTTGGTGGGAGGACACAGAGAGGGGGACGGGGGGGGCGGCCAGCCGGCCAGAAGGGCCCCCTCCCCTCTCCTGCCTTCTAACAGCCATTCCAGCAACGCTGTGCCCACGGGCGCCTCCACTGGCACCCGCACGAGTTGAACGCAAGGCGTGATCAGTGCCGGGGCCTCATGGGCCGGCCGGCCGCCTCCCGGAGGGGCACCTACCGTTCTCTGCCGCCCGCTTGAGGTTCTCGATCATGGTGTCGTAGTGAATCCGGCAGAGCACCTTCTCCTCCACGAGGCCGAACTCCTCGCCGGTGGACAGCTGCCTCTTGCACGAGAAGCAGGCGAAGCAGGCCAGGTGGTAGGCGTTGCCGCGGGCCCTCCTGACCCAGTCGCTGGCGTAGATCTGCCTCCCGCAACGGGCACATTTTGTGCCAAACCGGCTGCAGAAGGGAGAGAAGACAGGAGGAGGCAGCCGTCAGCGCCCGCCGGGCCGAGCCGCTGCCTGGGTGCCCTTCTGCCCACTGAGCCCGGGGGGCCGAAGGTGGTGGCCCCCAGCCAGGTGGGCCAGGCCGTGCCGCCAGGGGGACACCGGCCGGCACAACTGGCAGCCACGCCTGGGCGATCTCTGGGAGGAACAGCCGCGTGGGGGGCGCTGGGCTGCGCCACCCGCAGAGCCCCCAGAGAGCTTCCGGCAAGGCTAGCGCTCCCAGGATCTCCTGGGGGACAAGGGAGTCAGTTTCCGGGCACAGCAGACACGATCCGGTGGCGAATCCAACGGCTGCATCTTCTGGACCGCCAAAGCAGGGGCCTGGCGGTCCTGGGCATGTGCCTTCGTGGTGTGTGGAGGGCATCTGGGCCCCCAAGCTGCGGCAGGCTCGGCGGGAGGGAGATTCTGAGTGCCCGCCCCCACGCCTGACTGCTTTGGAACGCAACGGCAGTCATCCGTTCTCAAGGCTGGGGAAAATGGGAACGACGGTCCCAACGCACTGGAGGGACACTGATTTAATGGCGGGGGAGGCACTTCGTGCCTGCCCAGAATAGGAAACCGGCTCTCTCTCGGCCGAGGGATCTGTGGGCGCCGCGGTGCATGGCCAAGGCCCAGGCGCTTCTCGCTGGTCTCTGATAGCGTGGAGAGTCCCTTCTCTGCGAACGGCCGGGTGGCAGTGGTGTAGCGCAAGCAGGACTCGCAGGGAGACAGCGCCAGGCTCCTGCCACCCTCGGGGATGCTGGCACCATCCGCCCCCCCCCCCCCCGCTGGACGTGGCGCACCCTCCGGGCTGGGCTGCCAGCCGCACAGACTCTGGCGGAATGAGCTTTTCCTGCAACGTAATATTGCTCACGGCTGACCGGAAGGCGGCTTGGCTTTGAGCGGCCAGCTCAGGCCCGTTGGCTTCAGAAAAGACGCGCTCTTTGCAGATGCACATTCCTAGGACTGGTTGGGGGAGACGGGCGATGGCCCCGGCCGGGCTGAGCGCCTGCACCTCAAACCGGGCTGCTCCTCAGGGAAACTGCCCCCAGAGGGAAGCAGGAGGCTCGGCATCCGGGCAACCAACCCCATGCTTGCTTCTGCTAGCACAGGGACCCTTTCCTGCGCCTCTGGCAGAATCCGTCAAGGCGCTGGAGGGGGGCCTGCCCTGGGGAACCCGCAGAAGCACTCGGAGACGCCCAGGGCCAGCTGCTGAAGGGCGATTTTCCCGTGCCAGTGTGGCAGAGTGGTCAAAAGGCTGGGCTGGAGCTCACCAGACCTGGCTTGGCCCTCCCCGCTCAGCCAAGCTGCTGCCGGGGATGCTGGGCCAGCCGCAGCCTCTCGGCCTCCACCTGCAGCACAGGCTGCCGCCTGGGAGGGTCCAGCAAGCCATCTGGGCTCCTGGGAGGAAACGGTGGGCCACCTTGAGAGCCCCAGTGGGAAGCTGCATGCTGACAGGAGGCCCTGATGGGAGGGGAGAGGGCTGCATCCTCCCGGCTCGGCTCCTTTGCTGAAGTTGCCTCCCCTTTTCCATCTGCACAGGCAGAATCCTGCCCCCCCCCCCGCCACTCATGCCAGTCATGGCCTTGCACTGGCACCAGGACCAGCACCTCTGGGCTACCTCTTGTCCCACGCCAGGCATCTGCGCCCGAGGACACGGGCTGGAATATTCAGCCCTTTTCACAATGAAACTCCCATCCTCCTGATAAATTTCCACTGGATCAGTTGCAAAGGAAAAGGAAAAACTGACTAACAAGTTCTCTGGAAGCGGCTCTTGTAACTGCAGCTGCTTTCGGCAAAGGCAGAATCTTCTCTGGCGACGTGCTGAAGTGGGCCCCGCGCAGAAGCCGCTGGGCCAAAACCTCTGTCAGCTCAAAGCGGCTGCGATCGCCGGGGACACCACCTGAGTTGGCACCCAGGCGGGTCTGCATGCCTCTTGCAAAGCCAGGCTGGCTGCTGCAGACTTTTGCTTTAATTTTAAATGCAAGTGAAGATTTTCGCTCGAGCGAGCCCATGCCAATTTGGGGGTGGGGGAAGAACGAAAAAAAGCAGCATTTTGCTAATTTCTTGCATATGGGGAATGCAGCGAGAGCTGGACGACGCAAGCCTTCGTTTACACGATTGCACAAACAAAAGAGCCGTGTTAATTAATTTTTCATTCCTGCAACAGATTCGGGAAAGCTCGGCTCTCTTCAATGAGAGGCGCTCCCTCCGCTCTCAGCATCAAAACAGGAGAGGACCCTGGAGCGCCAGTTCGAAACACTTCTCTTCATCCACACAACCGCTCAAACTCACAACTGCACACTTTCCCCCTTCAGTGGGTGAATTAATCAACTTCAATCGCTTCGCTGATGGGGCGTCAATTTTAGTGAGGGGGGGCACGCGTCCCTCCCCTGCTTCCCTATGTTGGTAACATGCCGAACCTGGGACCACCTTGACAAAATGTCCTTTCCTTCCCAACAATGAGCCAAATCATAATTAAATAAATTGCACTAGCACTTAAGTTGGCATTCTATTTTTTTAAAAACTCATCCCCGCCTTCCTGGGCTAGAGAAGCTTAAAATGCCTTTTTAAAACATGTTTAAATCCAATTTGAGGAGTTTTAAACACCGCCACACCTGGCGGACAGGAGGGCAGGGCAGCCAAGTCCTTAAAACATACATGATCGCGGAAAGAGAATGCGGAGGAGAAGCCGCCCTGTCCTTTTTCCGAAGGAGAAGGCGCGTACCAATTCCCCTTCGGCTAGATCCGTTTTGCGTCGGGAACAAACCCTCTGGTTGCTTTTCCTGCCAGAGCCAGCCTGAAATACACGCCGGCGAAGCGACAGGGCTGCGGCTTGGACGGGCTCGTGCCGCCGGGCGGGTTCAGCGAGGCAGCAACGGGCACCGCGCAGGGCCCTCTCCGGCCCCCGCTCGGTCCCGGCGCGGCGCGCGCGTTCAGGATCAGGACGTGCTCCATTCAAACGATTCCCGCTGAAGCCGGTGCCCGGGAGCGCGCTGGGAAGGGCGAGAACGCAGGCATGGCCTGGGCAGCCTTCCCTGCGCCCCGAGGAACAGCCCCCGCGCCCCGGCGTCTGTGGAGAGCCCGCCGGGGAGAGCCCCCCAGGGCGGGCGGGCGGGCGGGCTTTCTGGAAGCCCACGCTCCGCTCGCCCACCGTCCAGGGCCGGGCGTGTGGCAGCTTGCCGGTCCACCCTGATTTGGCAACGGGGTGTCGCGAGCGGACTCGCACCTCCCGGCCGGCGAGCCGGTCCCGCTGCGGACACGGGCGAGGCTTCGCGCGCCTTTGATCTGGCAGCGCCCATCAGGCCTCCACTCTCGGTCCGCGGCCATCGCGCCACCAACGCGCTCCGGCGCCTCTGCCGCTGCTCCCCTCCACCGGCGCGGCGCGGGCGTAGCACGGCTCTGCTCGCATGTGCCCTTCCCGGCTTCATTCTGACACCCGCCACGTCTGTAATCGGAACGCGGCGAGCCCGGCAGGGCCATTTCAACGTCCCGCTCGATCACTTCCTCTCCCTCATCAGCACAATTCCCGCGAGCCCGAGATAAGGCTCACAGTCCCCTTTCTTCCCTGATGGTCGGCGTCTCTTCCCGGAGATGCCACTTCTCTCGCCCCTGCGCCAACCCTGAGAGTCTGCCTGCGGAGAGGAAGGACCACCACCTTCCAGACCAAGCGTGGACTTGGCTGCCGGGAGTTTTTTAAAGACATTACTCCGCCGACAAAAAGCATTCCTGTGCATCTTTTCTGACAAGTTGTTGCAGCAACACGGATGAGACTTGGTTGTCTTCAAAAGATCTTAAACTTGTTCTGGCTCTGGGGCGCTCTCTTTGTAAACAGCTGCTGAGAGCGCAGATGTTCCAGGGCAGAGGATGCCCTGGAAATCGACTCAAGCGATTACTGCTTCTGTGGATCGGCAGTGCAGAGGGGCGCGCTCAAAAACGTGCCCACTTGGCTCAATGGGGCTTACTCCCAAGGAGCCCTCGTCGTGTAAGCAGCCACTTTCCTGCAGAGGCTCTTCTCACGTTACTGCTTTAAAACTGAAGCGATGCGTCCTGTTCCCGGAAGCCGGGGCGCTCGGATCGGCCCGCTAAAAACGGGCAGTGCCACCCCAGAGCGTCTGCTCGGAAGCAGGTCACATCAGTTTCAGTGAGACTTCTTCCCCAGGTAAATTGTGCATCTACAACTGGCATGCGCTGGGCAGGGCTTGCTTCTGAGTCGACATGGATAAGGTTGCGCTGTAAATCTGCCACTGGCTGACAACCCAAACACGCACACCACAAATACAGAGGGCTGCAGAAATGTTTTAAATCCCAAGGAGCCGGTATCATGCTTTTAGAAACCAACCTGGCCCCAGACTGATTGCTAGGATTTCAGGATTTCTAGGCACTGGGACAATAAACCGAACTCTGGGGAACTCCGGTAAAAGCACTCGCTTTTTTCTAGGCATCTACCAAAAGCGACAGCAGAGCTGTGCGGACTTCGCCGAGCGACAAACGAACCCGGTTTCTTGGTTCTAACCAGGATACCCTGCACAATTTAGCTCAGTTTCGGGATTACCTTCAACATTTCTCCTTGCTTAACTTCTAATAATTTTTTACCCCCAGCAAAAGGTCCACATCCAGCCGCTTCACAATGTTTTAAACTCGCACGTGGATATATATCCTTTACTGAATCTCATTTGTCTTCCTAACAACCTTTTCTCCATTTTACAGATAAAGAATTCATCCAAGAGATTATCCCTGAGAAAAATATTAAGCCATAAAAAACATTCAAAATCCATACGGGAGCAATCACTTTCTTAAGACAACTCAGAGGTTAAAAAAAAGCATGTAAGCTTCCAGGTTCGGCAGATCTCTTCTTCAGCTAGGTGGTAAAGAAAGCAAAAGAGGGGCGAGGGAGTGGGTAGGGTGACTGTAGGAAAATAAATGAAACAAATTATTTATTGGGAAGATAAATAATTTACTGGGGGAAGCTTACGAATTTTTATTGTACGCTTCCCCCAGTCGGGCTAGAGGGGAGCCCAGGGAAGAAAATTTTGGGGGGTTGCATGTTTGGGGTGCTCGAGGGCTCAGGCTACCGACGCGTGACAGCATCCCAGCTTTACATCGCATCTCGGCTGAATGATCACGCACGCGTTTCACTGTGCTGGGAAATCCTGAGCCGTCTGGCCGTGCCTAGCCAAAGCTGTTTGCAATAACCGAGAAAAGGCAAAGGTGATGAAGAAACCATTTCAAGTTGGCGTGGCGGAGGCGCTATCGCGTGAGCGAACGACCTCTGCGCCCCTCCATCTGGGCTCCGAGCAGAGCAGGTGAGTTCTGAGGTGGCTCTGACGGGGCGCGAAGGGGGCAGCCAGCCGTGCCTCGGGGCGCCTTCTGCAGAAATCTGCACGCGTTAAGGGAGTTTGGGGGGCCCTACAAGAAGCGCCAGCCGCTGGTCGGTGTTCGGTATTCATCCATGAACTTTGGGCGTCGCATCCTACGGGTTTTGCCCCGGAAATTAAATGTACGGGCAGTATCGAAGAGAGACTTGGTGGGCGGCGAGAGACAGCCCTGAGCCGAGAAACACGCGGAGCAGAGCGAGGGAGCCTCGCTGCGAGGCGTCGCGGGTTCTTGCGGGGCTTTGTGACTGGGGCACAATTCGTGGGCAATTGGCGGCGGGTGAAACACGAGATAAGGAACGCAGAAGTGAGCAGTCGGTGTTTCTCGAGGGTGCGCACGCCTGGCTGAAGTGGGTGTGCAAAGGGCTTGTGAAATAGCGCGCAGCACACGCCTTCGCGCAATGTCCGCGCGATCTGCCTTCCCGGCTGCTTGGAGAGCCCCGGGCCCGGCGCCTGGCGAGGGTGGCCTCGCGTGCAGGTGATCCAACAGAACCATCTCGAGGATCAGCACGTGAGAAGATGAGTTACTTAAGGACGGTTTACCAGTTTGCAACGAGCAGCCAACTTGTCTTAGGAGGACCTGAAAGTGCGTTTGTGCGCACGTCTTGGGGGCCAAGTAGCTCCGTGTTTGGGCTTCCTCCTCCCTCAGCAGTGCGGACGAGACTTAAACCATATACATCTCAAGCCGCAATGTGTATCATTTGCGAGCAGATATCCCAGTCGATTGAGGGGTGTGTCTGGGGGATCATGGGAAATAAATCGCTCTCGCCATTGCCGGGGGTGGGGGGCTCTGGGATACTCACTGGGAAATGGATGCTCCTGCGTTTAATGGGAGGGGTCCGTGAGGAGGGTTTTGGGAATGGGAATCCGCCGAGCCGGGCAGAGTCTTGCAGCCCCTGAAAGCTCCCCGCCTGAGCACGGCCCGAACCTGCTGCTGCGCCACGGGGCCACGGGTGGGTCGTTGGGGCCTTGCCGTGGTTTTGTGGCTGGGAGCTTAAAAGCTCTGTGGCTTCTCCAGGGGAGCACCTCCCATCTGCCACGGGCAGCAACGGCAGCCCCAAGACTTTCCCGGAGCCCAGACCTGGGAGGTGCCCTGCCCCACCACCCAGCATCCACAGGCGCTTGGCGCAGCGACGGCACAGGGGCCCAGAGGGTCGCGGTCGCTTCGCGGCCCTGGCTTGGTTGGCAGGTGCTTCACCCTGGAGCCGTGCGGCCGAGTCTTTTTCCTGGAAGCGCCCCCGTTTTCACAAGGCCGGGTGTCCTCCCGAGGCAGGGTCCTCCGCGGGTGCGAGCGCGCGGGCTCCGGGGCAGATGCAAAGGGGCGGAGGCACCGAAGTCGTTTTCCCTGTCCTGGGGCCGCGCCCTCGATTCGGCCGCGCCGAGCACCCCCCCCCCCCGCCCAGCAAGGCTGAATTCTGGGGGCAGCGGCGCCGCACGCGTGTCATCTCGTCGCGAAGCTCCCGCTCGCTGCGGCGCCCAGCGCTGCGCTCCAGAGCGGGGAGCCCAGACGCGGCTGGATCCGGGCCCTCGGGATCAAATGCTCCCGCAGTATCGGCTTGATCGATTACCGGTTAAGAATTCCGGCACCAACTCTCCCTCCCCCTCACCCCAAATTCCAGGGTTGGGGGGGGGAAGGCAGGCAGGCAGGCAGATCGCTGCGCTTCTTCCACTCGGAAGACGGGCTGCCATTCCCTTCAACGGCCAGTCAGTCTCCCGCCCGCACCAGCCCGTTCCTTTCCTCTCCTCTCCTTTCCTCCCCTCCCTGGAGCCGAGCAGGTCTAGCCCGGGTCGATGGGGGACACCCGCGCAAGCTCTCGCTGCCTTCCACTGCCTCGTGGCCTTTCCCCGCGAAGGACTCTCTCACCGAGGCGGCCGCACACGAACTGGGCCGGCAGCGCGGGCCAGGCGCCGCTTCTCCATGTGGGCAAGCCGCGAGGCCCTTTGCCCGGGCGGCGAGGCCTCCGAATTAAGTCTTCAACGGAAATGGCCCGCGCCGTGTGAACGCAGAACCGAAACCGCCGCAGGCGCCCTTTCAGCACCGGCGCACTTCTGCCGCGATCGCACAAAGGCGGGGGGCGGGGGGCGGGGGGCTCCCCTCTCCCCGGGCTTCTGGGGCCAGGTTCCCCCTCGAGGGGGCTTCCGGAGCCTCTTTCTGACGCACGAGTGACTCGCTGAGCGCGGAGCGAGCGCCGGGCCCAGCAAGTCTCCTGCGGAACGCCGCCGAGCGCGGGACACGAGCCGCGGGAGCGCCTGCCTGTGCCCCGCGGCGCGGCTGCGCGCCGGAGGGCCGCTGCGCGCCGGTCCTCCGTCGGGCGGCCAGAGGGCCGCTGGAGGGGCGGGCGCGTGCCCGCGGCAGGGGCGGCGGCATTCCCGGAAGAGCCGGCTTTCCTCTCCAGACGCGTCCCGTTCAGGCAGCGGAGCATGGCGGGGCGCGGGGGGGGCGAAAGCCGCGCCGAAGCGGCCCCGCGTCTGCTCCGCTTCTCAGCGGCTGCTCCTCTCCGCAGCGCCCGCCGAGCGGGGACGGGAAGAGGCGGCGTCCGCAGCGCCTGCCCGGCGCCCCTGTCGGGGCCCAGGGCACGTCTGGGCCGACGGAGACCCTTCCGCTTTCGCCCGGCGCGTAATTGCGCACGGGAGGGTTGACGGAGCCGCTCCGGGACGCGTCGGCCGAGCACGGGGCGGCGGGCTTCTCGGCAGGGCGCGGAGGTAACTCCTGGCGGGTGCCCGTTCCCGAGGCGAGGCGCTTCGAAGCCCGGCGCCGGCGGCCCTCCTCTGACCCGGGCTGGAGAGGCGGCCTGGCGCGCTCACGTTAGCCGCTCCCGCTGGCCTGGCTGGCCCAGTTCCCCGGACGTCCTCAACGAAATCCGTCCCCCGCCCTCGCACACGGGGACGCAACGCGCCGGACCAGCCCAGAGATCACCCGAGGGGCGCTTGCAGCGAAGCCCGCCGATCTGCTTCCAGAGGCGGTGCAGCGCCGGATCCGGAGGGCCAACTCGCGCCCGCCCGAGGTCGACTGGCCCGGATGGCCGCCGGCAGAGCGCGGCCGCCGGGCAGGAACCTGCTCCGCCGCCGCGCAGCCCCTCCTCGGATCCACCAGACCGCCGCCGCGGCCCCCGCGACACGCTGCTCCGTGCCCCCGGAGCGGGCCAGCCCTGCCCTGCCCTGCCCCGCCGCTTCGGCTGCCAGACGGCCCCGCTCCCGACGTGGGCCGCCTACCCAGGCGCGCACGGAACCCCTCGGCCGGCCGACTCCAAGCCCTCGAACCCGATTCCGATGGACCTGCGCTGGGGGTGCCGGCGGCGCGGGGCCCCTGCTGCTCAGCCAGGACCGACACCGCGGGAGCTTGAGAGTGACCGGGGGGGGGGGGGCGAGGAGTGGGGACCCTTTCCCGCTGGCGCTGCCCGCGGTCTCCTGTAAAGGCAACCCGTGCCAAACTCCAGATCGGCGCCGAAGCCGCCTTCATACGTGCAGTCCCAGGCCGTGGCGAAGCAAGCGAGCGCACGACGGGTCCTGCGCACGGAGGACGCACCACTAGCCCGAGCCGCGGTCGCGTCTCCCCTCCGCGGAAACAGCACCCCGTTCCGGATCCCGCCCGCCCGCCCGCCCGCCCGCCCAGCGAGGCCCGGCCCGGCCCAGCCCGCGCGGCTCCCACCTGAAGTAGTCCATCTTGCAGAAGATCTCCTTGTTCTTCACGTAGCAGCTGTTCTGCTGGCGAAGCGACGTGCGGCACACGGAGCATTCCAGGCAGCGCCCGTGCCAGGTGAGGTTGTTGACCTGCGGCGGCGGGAGAGACGGATGGGCGCCGGTGAGGGCCGGCGGGGACGCCGAGCGCCCGCGGCTCCGCTCCTCCGCCGCCGCCGCCCCCCGGCCAGGACGCAGCAGCTCACCTTACCTTGAGCAGGTACCGGTCCAGGATCTCCAGGCCGCAGCTGGAGCAGAGGTTCTTGGCGCCCGAGGGCAGCGAGGACGAGGCGGACGACGGCGGGGAGCACACGGACGGCGTGGAGGGCGTGCTGGCGCCCGAGCGCGCCTCCTCCTTCTCCAGGGCGCAGGGAAGCGCCTCGCCGTCCGGCTGGGCCTGTGGAGCGGAGAGCGAGAGATGGGGACCGCGCGGCGGCGGGCACGGCAGCCCGAGCGCCGCGGGGAGCGAGCCGCGGGAGCCGCCGCCCGCCCGCCCGCCCCGCGCTCCCCGCTCCCCCGCCGGCCGCCCGCGTCCTCCCCGTCGGAGCGCGTTACCATTCGCCACGGGGCGCCGGGGGCTGGGCGGCGGCGGCAGGCGGCAGGCGGCGGCAGGCGGCGGCGCCGCGGGTCGGGGACGCGACTAGCCGCGGGGCGGCATGCCCCCTATATAAGCCCGGCCCGGACAAGAAAGCCCGGCTTTGGAGTGGCCATAGAAACGGCGTCGATCAAAGAGCGCGCGGAGAAGCGGGCGAAGGCGAGGAAGGGGAAGGCAGAGGCGGCGGGGCTTGTTAATCGCGCAATTTGCGGCCGGGGAGGGGGCGCGGCCCGGGGGGGCTTTGAAAAGCAGCTCTCGAGGTAATCGCGGCGCTTCCAGCGCGTGCTTTGCCAAGCCGGAGCCGCCGCTGCCGCCGCCGCCGCCGCCGCCTCCTCCTCCTCCTCCGACGTCGCCGCCCCGAAGCACCTGCAATTAGCAGCACCGCCCGGGGCCCGGCCGGAGACGCGCGCTGCCAATCAGCCGCCGTCGGCCGGGCCGCGCAAACGCAGCAATTAAGCAGCGACCACCCTTTCGCTGCGCCCCCCGCGCCGCGCCCGCCCCGTCGCACGCCCCCCGCGCCCAGCACGGGCCGCCAGAGGGGAGACCCCGCGCGCAGCAACCGAAGGGGCGCTCGCTCCAGCCGCCCCCACACAAAGGGCCGCACTGAGCCCCTCTTCCGTGCCCCCCGTTTTCGGCCATTCCTCCCCCATGGAGGGAGGCGGGGGGAGGCGCGAGCCCCCCCAGGCCTGCTCGACGGCTTCCGTGCACGGAGCGGCCCGCCCCACGACCCCCCCACTCACACCGCTTCCCAGGGGGTCCCACAGTCGCCCCTTCCCCGGGCAGCAGAATGGGCGACCCCCGACCCGCGCCCTCCCACGGCTGGAAGCCCCCCGCGCCGGAACAAGGAACAAGCGCCGGAGCGAGGACAGGTACAGGAGGGGGCGCCTTCCGAATCCCCCCACCCAGAAAAGGCGGGGGCGGGGCAAGCTGGCGGCTTCACCTTCGGAGCCGAGCCCCAGCCGTGCAGCGAGGCCGCCCGCGCCCGCGCCCCGCCATCGAGAAACAGGCGGAGGGCAAGTCCAGGCCCCTCGCCGGGCAGCGACCTCCGACTCGACCTCCGCGCTCCGACGGGACGGCACCCAGCTAAGGAGGGGGGCAGGACGACTCCCTGCCGGGGAACTGCGACCGGGGTCGGGATCGGCACCCCGGGGCCCACCGCTTTTCTCCCGCGCTCCCTCCTTCCCTCCGCAGGCCGGAAGACTTTGCCAAGGGCGGGGGGCGCAGCCCCCCCCAGCCCTGCGCGGAGGACCGCTGCCTCTCCTGCCCCGCCGCGCCATCGCGCCTCACCTCAGTCCGCGGCTGGCCGCCCTCCGGCTGAGGGGCGGAGGTCTCATCCTTCCAGAACATGGAAGGGGTGGGGAGGGCACGAGGGGGCGGCATGAGGAGGGGAGCTCCCCTCCGCAGCGGCCGCCCAGACGTGACTCACCCGCGGCGGCTGCTGGAGAGGACTTTAAATGTTCCTTCTTTTTTTTTCCACTGGGATGTCTCCCCCCCCGCTCCTCCTTCCTTCCTTTCCTCCAGCTAGATTCGGCGGGCGGGGGGGGGGGGGAGAGAGGGCCGCAGGGAAAGACGGGGCGTATGCGAGGCGCAGCGCTCAGCTCCTCGGCTCTTCCCCTGGGGCTCAGCCCCGCACCTTTCCGGATGAGAAAAGGTAAGGCGGAGAGCACCTCTGAGGACATGCAGAGTTCCCCCTTTGAGGAGCAGGGAAGCCAGCCCGTTCAACCACAGGCACTCAGCACCGAGAGGCTGAGCTCAAGGCGAGAGCGGGGACCTCGCGGAGCGCGCACGCGGGGCTTCCGGCCATGAGCCCCGGCGGCACGGGCGGCTTCCCGGTGGGAAAGGCGTGGACCGGGCGGCGGCCGGAGGGCCCTCTACAAACGCTTCCTCTCCGAGCGCCAGGAGCGGCCCAGGCCGAAGGGACCCCGAGGGCGCCCCGCCCAGCTCTGCCCGCCCGGACCGGCCGCAGGGCCCGGCGTTTCCAGACGGGCGCTTCAGTTCTGGCCACCAGAGCGCCTTGCGTGTCCGTGCGCAAGCACATGACGTGGGCAGGCAGGTGTTCACCTGAGCCGCGCGTGCCCCGCAGCCGCACCGAACCTCTCGCCTGGTGCGGAGAAGGCCGCTCTCTTCCACCCAGGGACCCAAAGGGCAGCCTCGAACGGCGCGCCACCCCCTTCCCAGCTTTGCCAGCCGGCGGGCACCAAGCCTCGCTCTTTGGCGCGAGAGCCCCCGATCGTCGTCTGCCTCTCCGCTGAAACGCGGAGGCTGTTCTCGCGGGGCCCAACATCCGCTCTGGGGCCAAGCCTGACGCAAGGAAGTCCGGGGTGGCTTGGCCATCGGGCGCCGCCCGCTCCGTGTCGCCCGGTTATGGCGACCCTGGCGGGCAGCAAGGGTCCGTTGGGGCTTCCAGCACTCGCGGCAGGGCGCCGAGCGGGGCCGGCTTGCATCGCCCCCAGAGCGGAGATGTCTCGGGCAGGCCCCGGAGCCGCTCCGTCCACTGGAAGGCACTGCCGTGGCCTGCAACCTGCTCGCAGCCGAGACCTGTCCCCTGGCTCTGCGGCGCATGTGCCGCCAGCCCGTGGGCGCCCTCCCCACCCACCGCCCCGGCCGGCCGCTGGGCAGTCGCGGCCCGAGAGGTCCCTGCTCGGTAACCCGACCTCTCCTCGGGCGCAGGGACAGGGCAGGGGCTGCTCTGCGAAGTAACCCGAGAAGACGGGAGGCCGGCAATGCGTAATCGCGCTGATTGGACCTGACGTCCAAATTGGCCAGTGGGAGAGGGGGAGTCGCTCTGGAGGGCGCCCCAAGTGCCGCAGCTGCAACCGAAGCACATCAGGCGGGTGGCGACCGAGGGGAAACGGAGACCCCCGGGCCTGCCACCCCCCCTCCACTGCCCGTGGGAGTTTCTCAGAGGGGCGCGTGGAGGGCCTCATCCTGGCAGGGCGCAGCTCCATGCAGCCGAGCGGGGACCGTTCTGGCTTGCAGGGGCTCTCCAGCCGCCAGCCCTGCTGTCGGAGCGCTTTTCCCGTGGGTGCGCTCAAGCCCAGGCTCTCTCGGGAGCGCGTGTCTCGGCAATGCTCTGCCTGCTCCGGGGGCAAACCGCCTCCGCACTAGCCGCTCGACGAAAACTCTCTTGCTCGTAAAAGGACCCCTTTTGAGCAGGGGGGTGGTCCTCCCTTGGAAGCCTGTGGTTGTGAGGCTGCTCCAGATCTCATCAGCAGCCAAGTTATGGGGGGGTCTACCCCCCACACCTCCACCTCACGCCTCGCCTCTACCTGCGCTGCAAGCGTCCCCCATCCTTCGGCTCCAGCGCCAGGGTCCGCCTGCCGGGTGGGTCCTCCTTTGTTGCCTTCGCGATCTAAATCTCCCTAGCAAGACAAGGTGAGGCCTCTCTCGTCCCTGCGGTTGTATCTTCATTATTTTATCTCCGCAATGACCCTTTTGAGGGCCGAGCGACAGCCCTGTCCGGGACTTCCCAGGCTAACCCAGCCACTCCCAGTTTCTCGAGATGCGTTGGGTCCCAGCATAACCGAAGGTGATGGGAGCTGCGACCCAACGCACCTCCAGCACAGCGGGAGCGGTGGTTCAGTGCACGATGGGAATGTTAGGGACTCGGGGTTGCTTGTCTGATGGTCACAGTCCTAACGGAGCCGGCTGCGTTTCCCCGCAAGGCGATCCGATCCCGCAGAGCTGGCGCTGGCTGAGCGTTATTCCAGAGCAGCGAGTGTCTGGCAGGCCGGCTCCCCCCACCCCTACAATGGACTCCAGGCCACTGCACACAGAGCTGGGGGGACGGGAGGCCGCGTGCTCTAGGGCAACCCCAACGGCATTTTCAAGCATGCCTCTAAGGTCGTGGCCAAGGTGAGTTTGCTTACAGAGCCACACACCAGCGGGCATTGGCTGTGCTTCCTCTCCAGTCCACGGCTGGCGGCACCACTGGACTCAGCTGAGCAATAAACGGATGGCCCACACAGGAATCATTCTTACGAACATGAAAAACTTGGAATGGGGCTCCATTCCAACATTCTTCAGGAAGAGTTGCCGGCAGCCCTCTTTCCTAACCACGGTGGGACACAGCACGTCTGCAAGGTCCAGACAAGCAGGCTCTGCTTCGTCGCATTTACACTGACGGCGGCTACGGTCCCACGGCACAGCTGACATGACCTGCCGCTGTTATCTGTTATCCGTGGCCCAATGAAAGGTGGAGAACTGGTTTATCAGATGCGTTTGGATCAGTTCAATGCTCTAACAATTTAAAATTCAAATATGCATGAAAGCAATTATTTCTGATGCAAATATATGCTTTTTTCCTCTTCGCTTGTGTCTTTTTGGACTATGAACTCGCAGCGAGACACCAACTTCTTTTGTTATTTCATAACGCACACGAGTTTTCTGTCTGAGGGGCAAGATAAAAATATTCTGAACAGAGGTGGCACATGCGTTGCTGTTTTTATAAGCATTTGACAATCTGGCGGGGGGGAGCCACATGGCCTGATTAATCGGAGGGCACCGCTTTAGTCGATTAGAATGTTTTCAATTTATTATGCTGAGTAACTGATTATATACCTGGCGCCCATAGAACACGTTTCTGTGGCTGGGATTTACCCCAGCGCTGCATGAGCACGCGACACATGCCGTCCTCAGGGCTGGAAGCGCAGCAGATCCCCGCAGTGGACTAGGAAGGCCGCAGATCTCGGTACGGAGGGCCGCTCCCTGCCACCGGAGCCTTCGGTGCTCTTCCGGGTGGGGGGAAAGGCCAGCGGCGTGGCTGCAGGGCATTCCCAATAGTCTAAGAGCTTCGGCAGCTGCTGCCCTTCCCGCTGTTCCTTCCCACTCACGACTGTGCAAACACCTCCAATCCGTGGGAGCGTGGCTCTGCTCTGCGGCACAGCCCCATCTCACCGCGAGCCTACCAACCGTCAACATGGCACACTTTGAAAGCATGGGTAACTTTATTCCTGTACAACTGTTTCCTTAAAAAGATATTGATACACAGACCCAACCGCGCCCCGAAGGGCGGCGTGGCAACACCGAAGCGTCGCCCGGGCACACGCCACCCATTCCCAGATTCGAGCCGGCTCCTTGAGCACGCAGCGCTCGGCTTCCTGCAGCTCCGTGGCCGAGGAGGTCCCCTGAAGCAGCTCCCACGGAGCCGCTGGTCAAAGACGTTTTCCAGGCAGGCTGTCTCGTCGGGCTCGGAGAAATACTTAGGCAGTGAAGCATGCACCCCCAGCCGGCCCCGGGACGGCCGAGACCGGCCTCGCCTCGCCTCGCCGGCCTGGACAGTTGCTCCTGGGGTCACTACGGAACGCATCCGGGGTTGGGAGAGGTACGGTACGGATGCCGGAGCGGCGCCGCAGCTCATTTCCGCTAGGCTGGGTCTGCCCCGCGCGCAATCGGAGATCTGGGAGACGACGCGAGTGTTCAAAGGCCAGAGTGCCGCCCCCCGAAAGGAGCCAACGGAGCCCTGCGGGAGGCAGTCCGCCGCTCTTCCCCACCGACCTCCTCGGCTCGGGCGGGGGTGCTGCAGGGTGGCGTCGCCTGCGCCCAGGAATCATCTCTTGGACTTCCAGGCTGCCCTGGAGTACGGGGCAGTCCGTTTTTTGTCGGGCGGCTTGAAGTAGGCGTACGGGGCCGCCGGCGGGAGCTCCGCGTCCGGGTTCTCAGCCATCATCTTCAGCTTGGCTTCGATGGCCTTGATCTTCGTACTGACGCTGTGGAGGAGGCAACAGGGGCTTGCTTGGGACCTCCCCCTCCCCCGGCCCCCCGGCCGTAACGAGACGCTAATCCACGCGGGGACCTGGACCCACGGAGCTGTGTAACATGCTCTGGGTGCCCAGCGGGGATTCGGGGCGGCCTCTCTTGAAAAGCAAGGCTTCCTGCACTGGGCGAGAAGCAGCTTTTGAAACCGAGGAAAAGGTCCAGGGAGGAGGCAGCGCTGGGGGGCCGGAGTGGGGGCGGTGAGGGTGAGGAAAGCGGCATTTCGGCGGGAAAAGCGCGGGGGGGGGGTGAGGGTGCCTTCACCGCTGTCCCCGGTTGGTTCCCAGGCTGGAAGGCAGGAAGATCCCTGCACTACATTTCCCATCAGCCCCAGTCAGCATGGTCATCAGAAAAGCCACACAAAGGCCTATCTGGTCCAGCCAGATGATGGCAGCTGCAACCCGGCAACGTCTCGGGGGACACCGGCACTGAGCACAGCAAGCAACTCCAGAGACCTCTGGTGAGTCCCCAGGGGCCTGGGTTCCTGGTACAGCTCGCTGCAGCCGCACGCGGCCCCGGCAGCCCCGCAGCGCCCCCTGCTCTCCCCCCACAGCCAGGCTGCCAAATGTGCAGCAGGAATCTCACGGCGGCTCCGCTGCCAAAAGCTGGCAGCGGACAACGGAAACAAAAGAGGCAAAGGAGGCCGGAAGCCGACGCATCTCCGTTGTCCTCAAGGCAGAGTTCGGGGCTCTCACTCTCGCACTTGGGGGCTTAGTTTAGCCGCATCAGTTCTTCCCCGCCCTGTTTTGAACTGATCCTGCTTGTACTTCCAAGCCACTTAAAAGCCGCCTCAGTAAGACTTTTCTCTTGCCATGCTGCTGGCAGACACTTGATCCCCCGCTGCGATCTCGCAAGCCCGAAAGGAGCCCCTTGGAATGTCAATCGCAGCGACGACACCCAGGGCCGGGCGAGGTTTGCCAAGTCGTCCCACCGCAGGGAGGGCTCTCAGCCAGCCAGCCAGCCGCACTGGGGCCACTGGTCCTTCCCACACCTCAGCCGGCCCTCCACCCTATACCCGATGCAGCGCCACAGCACGAGAAGCGTCTGGAGGCCCCTTCCTTTTAGGCGGGCTTGGCCAGGCGGCAGAGGGGATGGCATTGTACCAGGGGGTATGGCTGGCCCCACCAGGGTCCGCCCTCCAGCAGGGACCACCGCCAGGCACCTCCAGGAGCTGCAGCCTGCTGGCCCGCCTCCCCTTTGCTCTGGCCCAGCCAACGGCGGCAGCAGCGGGAGGTGCCTCAGGAGCGGGAAGCCCCCCACAGGTCGCCTTACCTCAGGTTGGACTGGGTCGGTTCTGTGCTGGACGAGGGCTCCAGGCTGATGGGAAGGGCCTTCTCGTTCTTGTTCTGGTCGTACCTCTGGGGGAAGAGCAGCGATGGTTTCCACAACAGGAAGAGGAAGGCAGGCAGGCAGCCCCCTCGGGGCAGGGGCAGGAGCCCGCTCGGCTGCCCGCTCTGCCTGACACAGGGGCGCCCGGCAGCCCACAAGCTCCGCTCACCTTTACCTGGGCGTGGGCCCACCGTACCAGCAGCTTCTTGGAGAGGGCGAGCTTGCCGTTGAGGCGCTGGATCGCCTGCTCTGCTTCCTGCGGGGGAAAGCGTGCCGAGTGACTCTCCCGACAAGGGAGCACGGGGCCCGGGGGGCTGGAAGCTGTCGAGGAAGCTCTGGGCCTCTGTGGAGCCCCCCAGGAAGTTTTTGATGTGCGTCGTTTCCCAGAGGACCCCGGTGATACGGACGTTAAAGGCGGGACGAGCACCCCAATTGTGGACTGGACTGTCGGGAGCACCAGCGTTTGCGCTGAAAGCTGCACCCCACAGCTTCTCCTGGCTGGAACGGGGAGAGGCTGGCGAGCTGGGCAGGGGATCCTCCGGCTTCCTCGGCCTGCCATGTGCGGCCAGACATGCGAGCAGAGCCAGAGCGGCGTGGCTGGCGCACCATCCTCCCAAGGTGCGGCAGCTGCTGTCTACACGCTCCCCACCCCTCGAGCGGGGGGGGGCACTTCCCCCCAAGGCGACACTGTTGAAAGCAAGGCCAGCAGCACGGCCTGAGGGGACATCGCACGAGGCCCCCTGAGCTTCCTGCCGGGGCGAGCGAAGGAGGCATGCGACCGCCGCGAAAAGGCCAGTTGGGGCCGGCGACACCAGGCAGGACCGCGCAGCAGCCCGGCCTGGGATAAGGTGGCTTCCGCTGGCCAAAGCGGACCGCTGCCCCTACCTGCTTGGTCTCAAAGTTCACGAAGCAGTAGCCTCGGGGCTGCCCCTCCAGCGCGCCGGATTTGTGGAACAGGAAGTCAAATTGCTTCACCTTGCCGAACTTCTGGAGAAGCTTGAGGAGGTGGTACCTGGAGGAAAGGAGGAGGGGTCCCACTGGAGGCCACTGCCGCAAAGCGAGAGGACGCAGGCTGAGCTGCCCACGTGGCTGCTCCGGGGAAGGGGAGGGGAGGGGAGACGTCGACTGCGCCTTTTGCTGAAAGACGCCCCGGAACCCGTGATGGTTCCCAGTTGATCGGTGAAGCCTGTCGCCAGGCAGCCTGTGGAATCTGAGCCCGGGGCCTGCGATCCACCAGACGGGCCGGGCCCGGGCCAGATTCAGTGGCTGCTCTGGGCTGCCGGTAAGACGGCGACCTGGAGGTCACACAGGTGCCGGCCAGTTCTCTTTCCAGCACGAGCGGGAACATTCCAGGAACCGAGACAATCCTCCAGGCAGGGCTGTTACGGATGCATTCCTGGAAGAGGAGGGGAAGGAAGGCCAGCGCGATTCACCCGGCGACACTCGCTTCGAGCCGGCTGACAGAGGAAAGCTCCATCCGCATCCAGGACAGGAGTCCTCCTTGGGAATCCCTTCCCAGGCCCAGACACTGAGGTACAAGATACGGCTTTGGCCGCTGCACTTTTGAGAACGATCATCAAGATTTATTAGCTATTGTTAGGCGTTCGAAAACAAACCCCCCCCGCCTCGCCACCAGCACGGTCTTCTTCATCTTGGCAATCAGAGGCTGTTTTCCTCTGGTTCGTCCGGTCCTTCAGGGGAAACCGGCACTCCTGCTTCCAAAGGGGACAGCACGACTAGCTTTCCTTTGGCATCCCCAGCGAAGCACCTAATTTTAGGCCGTGTTTACACAGCTGCTGCATGGCAGCCTTGATTTCATCAGAATGCAACGTACATCTCTTCCCGTGGCATCTCCACGAAGCCCAGCTGGGAAGCACGGGAGCCTCAGAATCGCTGGGCTTAAACAGCATGCGGGGTCTTGCTGGGAGGTGGGGGGGGGATGTCAGATTGCACCCATTTAGAGTGCAACGTGAGCAGCACAGTAACACCGGGGACGCGGCGCTGCGTCCTCATGTGCGGGCAGCGCTCGCGACGCCCTGCGCACTGGGTTCTCGAGCCTCAGCTTGGCTTCGCCACGGAATGGAAAGCGAGGAGGAGGGGTGGGACACTGGAAACGGAAGCCCCTCGAGGGGAGCCGCAGGTGGGCTCCCAGGTCTGAAACACACCCGAGCAATGCCAGAACGGTAAACGAAGGATGGCTCTCAAGCTGGAAAAGCGACAGAAAGGGGCGACCAAAAGAGCCAAGAGCCGGGAGCTGCTCTCCCTCGAGACAGTCCAGCTTAGAGAAAAGGGGAGCTGGAGAGGCAGGGCCGACAGAGAGGGTGGAAAGCGGACGGAGAGCCATTTCCCCCCTTCTCTCGCAGCCTTAGAAGCCAGAGGTCATCCAACAAAGCTGACAGGCGGGAGAGTCAGGGTGCATCAAAGGAAAGACCACCCCGTGCCCTACAGCAGAGCTGGGAGTGACCGAAGCTGCAATCCAACACACCTGGGGGGCACCGGACTGGGGAAGGCTGCTGCAAGTGCATCCGTGACCTACCTTCCCGGCTGCGACCTATAAATGCGACATGCAAATATGGGGCACTGTCTCCCCGGAAGGCCATCAGGTGCAGCCAAGGGGCTGGCAGGGGACTCGGACAGGCCAAAGTTCTGCGCACACCGTGTGCCTTCTGCTGACGGGACTCGCCACCCGAACATGGGACAATGGCCGCCAGCTCAGGGCTTCTGACAGGCGCTGCAGGACGGCCAGACGGACAGAGAAGGCGCCTGCGCTGGTGGCTCTGCCCAGGCCCGTCCAGAGGCGCCTGGCTGGTCACAGGCCCAGAGAAGCGCTTGGTCTGCTGCAGCTGCATGGATGGACCCAAGTGGCTCCCGGGGCTGCGTAAGTCGGGGACGGGCGGCAGGCGCACACAAGGCTCTGTTTGCACAGGAACGTGCGCCCCACCAGCCAGAGCTCAGTGCAAAGGGCCTGCACCCAGAAAGAAGGAATTCTGAACGAGGATGCGGTTTCCCGTCGGAGATCGAGCTCTGCGAGGCTGTGGGGAAGCGGCAGAGCCCGGGTCTCAAGAGACGCAAGGCCCAGCCGCAATCCCCAGCAGGGCTTCCACGCAGGGCCAGGAAGTCTCTCCGGCTGGTCCCTGCAGGGGACAGGATGCTGGGGCTCGGCGGGACTTTCAGCTGCAGAGCGCTGCTGAAGTTTTTATTAGGAATGAGTGTGGAGAAGAGGGAATGCTGGGAACACCAGGCTGCACAAATTTCCTGCAGGGGCCTGGTCCGCACCTGGTCCGCTCCAGGAGCATGCCGAGTATGTCCAGGCAGCGAAGCCAGCTTCGCAGCATCCGGGACCCTTCCCACCACAGCACTGCCTGCCTTTGCCCCAGAGTGCTTTTGCTGAAACTCTCGGGAGAAGGCGGAAGCCACCTTCTGCAGCAGATCCCTTGCGCTGTACAGATGAGCCACACCGAAGCGGCTCCAGCCCCGTGCCCTGAAACCGCATCTGTTCACAGTCTGGAAGCTGATGGCGAATGCTGTCAGAGGACACGAACGCGTACACGTTTTCAAGTCTGGCATATTATATCGGGGAGGCTTTAACTCACACAAACTGTCTAGAGAGCCTGGGTTATGGGGCAACAGGCAACCAAGAAACAGACCAAGGCGCTCGCCCAAGTCACGGGGAGGCAGGCTCCTTGCGGCTGTCTGCCGACTGTGCTCCGGGTTCATCATCAGGGTCTCGCTCCCCACCCGGCACTTGCCTTCTAATATTTTTTTTATTGCTATTTGCACGGGATTGTTAAGAGAGGCCCAGAAGGACTTTACGAGTGACGGGGGAGTTCCATTATGGGGCAGGAGCAGGAAGCGGCTGGAAATAACCAGACCCATCCTGGCCTGGTACCCGTGACCACGTGCCCTGGGGCAGGGGACAGAGAGAGTCGGTCTTCACGGGCGCTGCAGCCCGGCCGCATCGCTACTTCCTGTCATCCAAAGCCAAGATGGGACAACGTGTCCAAGTCCCATTTCCTTTTCCGCCGGCTTTCCTCCTGGCACCCTAAGACCTATTCAAATGGCAAGCCAGGGCTTCCTCTGAACAATGCTCTCCCAAGGATACGGGAACGATCCCAGCACATGCTAAAGCCATTATGGCTGGGCAGCTTCCCTGTGCTGCTCAGCAGGCTGTTGTGGGAAGGGCTGTTTGCAGAGTGAGGCCCTTCACAGGTCTGACTGTGAGATGCGGAGAGCTGGGGACTTCCAAAGTGCGTCCCCCCCCCCAAGTGGCACTGGAAGGCACACCATGAGCACAGAATGCTGCTTTCATTGTGTTGCTGTCGGCTTCTCTGTGGGAAAGACTCCCCTGCAGGCAGGGGAACCAGGGCATGCTGAGAACGGCTGCAGTATTAGAGGGTTAGAATGCACCGAAGAAGGCAAAGTAGCATCCGCAGGGCAGGGCAGGGCAAAAGGAAGGTCAGGACCTTCTGGCATAGCCTTGCAAGCAAAGCCAGAAGTGAACAGCCAGCAGAAATTGCCTCCTGGGGGGCACGGGAAAGGGACAATGCAGCTCCGCATGCCAGCTGGTGGAGAACATGAGTTCAGGGTGGTGGCGCCCCATCCAGTTGAAGTAATTTTAGCAATCTTAAAAATCCGGAGGAGCAGAGAAGAGCCTGGACTCACACGCATTCCTGGAAGGCAGGTTTCTCGATGCTGCGGAGGCACAAGGGCCAAGCGAGGTGCGCAGGCTGGGAAGCGATCAACAGGCGAACACCAGTGCCAGCTACCAAGAGCCAGCGGGGCCTGCTGCTGCCCGAGTCCCATGCTCAAAATTCTATACATGCCTCAAAAGGTCGAGTCTGCAATCTGTCTCCCTCTCTAATCCCTCAGTGCCAGAATCAGAGTTTTAGGACTAAGAAAGCTAAAAAGCTGCCGTAAGATGGGAACTTGTGAAGAAGTAGGGAGATCACGCACTGCGGATCCTTCCTGTCCTCCAGAAACAGGAAATAAGCCAGAACGTTTTCACAGACTACGGAATCTCAGCTTTCCCGGGTGTAAGTCAAACAGACTCAAGGGACTTTTTCTCCTTATTTCGTTCCTGGGCTATTAATTCTCCAAAACCGGAGCAAGCAGCTCTTCTCAAATGGACCGGCAGCCTGTCGGCCAAGCAGCTCCTGCAATTACCCACTGCCAAGAAGCTGCAGCAATATCAACACTGGGCAAAAAATGGTAATTAATGCAAAACTGAGAAGAGGGCAGTCAGTGCAGCACTGAATGAGCTGCCTGAAGAGGGCATTACATTAATGATGGACTCCACTTAGAGCCGCGATTAGGACGCTGCCGGGCTGAAAGGAACAGCACTTGGAACAAAAAACTCAAAGCACTTGCCGAAACACAAGAAGCCGGGCAAAAATTGCTTCCACAGCTGAGAGGCACACAATATCCGGGCAATAAAGCTGGAGCAGCCACTTGGAATGCATAAATCTGAGATTGTTTTGTAAAGCTGGGGGTCGGAGAGAGGAACGACAGCCTCCAGAACCCGGCCCGGCACATCTAACATCCCTCCAAGCAATCAAGCTCTCCTCCCTTGGTGTTTAATTGCCCCACTTCAACTTGCTCAAACACGTTAGCACGCAATTTAAACGTGCTAATCATTTGGAGGCCAAGGGAATGTCAAACACACACGCTTAACGGTTGCTGCCACCAGAAATGGGCTGGAACTAAAGCAGCTGCGGTTATTAGAGGCAGTTAACAGAAAGCCCTCAATGGCTGGGGCCAACGGTGCTTCCGAGGCCACACTCAGTCACTGGGCCCCGTACACAACCACAAAGACGAGGAACAAGCAGCCCTGTTACTTGGGCACTGGGAGAACAACAGCACCAACTCAAGTGATGCAGCCAGAGCGGCACGCCAGAAGCCAAACTGTGGATGGGAGACTGTCCCTGTGGCCAGGACAAAGCGTCCGTGGCCCCGGAAAGTTATCTGGGATAGGACATGATCCTGAGCAGTAGTTCATGGAAGAAGAGGCCGCTTTCCCTGGCCGCTTTCCCTGGCTCTTTTCTTTCTCTCGCCTAATACCTAGACAGACCTTTTTGAGGGAGATACAGGAAAGAGCTGGCACATTGATTCCTCCTGCCCTTACGTGACGTCAATGCCAGTCCAAACCTCAAGGAACAGCAGCACGTCACTCTCTCACGCTGCCCTCCTTCCGTGGAAGACCACCCTCCCTTTCCTCCCGCAACTCAGGACTCCATCCCTGTCCCACCCCCAGCTCCCTCCACTCACTCCGTGATCTTGGGGTCCAAGTTTCCAATCCAGAGGCGATGTCCATCCTGCAGGGCCCCCTCAGACAGAATGGACGCATTCTCCAGGCGCAAGCTCTGTGTGGGAGGCACTGCGGCCGCCATCCGCACCTACACGGGGCCAGACAATGCAGAGAAGTCGGTTTGCGGGAGGGCAAAGCGGGCCTGGAAAGGGGCAAGAGAAGGAAGCATCGCCTCGCTCCGGTCTTGATGTGAGCAACTGCTTGGTCTCTGAATCTGTTTTCTGCTACGGAGAAACCCTGAAATGCAGCAACGGGCTGCACTAGCAGAAGCAAAGACCGCCACCGAGGCCCGGACCTATTGTGGGCACGGTCTTGGGATACACCATCATTACCACAACTTTGTATGGCGCTTCTTTCAGTCATCGCCTGCATCATTTTATCCACACAACCACCTGCTGATGTAGGCGAGGGCCCAGAGCCGGTGAGTGGGCGAAAGTGACTCAGTGAGTTTTTGGCCGAGAAGGGACTTGAGCCAAGGCCTTTCAGTCCCAGCCCAAAGCACCAGCCACTACACCGTGTCAGAGAAATAACCCCGACTTATCACTACAATCAATAATACCGGCATCGCGGCGTACCGGCACGGATGGAGCCTGTCAGGCCAGCGGGGTAACATCCCCTGAAGCAAACTCACAGAATGGGCACTTGCTCGGCCCGCAGACCGCCCCCCCCCGCCCCACTGTCGGCTGAGATTTACTCCGCGGCGCGGCGCGGCCCAGGGAGCGGCTGTTCCGACGGTTGCGCGAAGGTTCGCCCCGGCGGCCCTCGGGGGCAGCGCGGCCTCGGGGCTTCCGCCTCCAGCGGTGCGGGAAAGCAGGGCGCGCCGCTCCGCCTGAAAACGCCGAGCAAGCGCGTGCGCCTCGGGCCGGGCGAGCAGAGCCTCTCCCGGCCGGGCGGGCCCGTCGCTTCCGCAGCCCCCGAGCGCCGCAGGCCGCCCGGCCCGGCCCGTCGCGGAGGCCCCAACGGCCTCGGGGCGGAGGCGGCCCGAGCCCC